GGGCAGGGTAAAGGAAATACTTGTTTTCTTTGCTTTAACAGAGAACTGTACTGATATTGTAGTTGCGATTGAGTTATGCAGTTATTCTAGAGCGATGTTAACCTTTTGCACCTGTGGAAGTCTTTTCTATTTGGGAAAGCGTTAAGTTATTTCAAGTTGTTTGTTAATTTTAAGTAACCCATCTTGTGCTTAACTTCGAAAAGAAATCAGTAGGCACTGGTGAAATAAATAAAATTCGTTTTCCCAGTGTGCTCTCAAACTATAAAAACCATCATGACATTAAATAATTCGGCGATTGTTTTTGTGTGACGACTAACAAACTGCAAAGCTTCATTACAGTTTTGTTTGATCACTTCTAATTGCCTTCCTCTTCTCAACGCAATGCGATTATTCTAGATGTACCTCTGGTTTTCATGGTTCTCTGAGTTTGACACTAGATTGTCTTTGGTTTGTCCCATTGAAAGATGATGAAAATTCATCTTAAAAACGCGTTCTCTGGTTAATAAGTATTTTAAAAACGGAAGCTTTCGGCCTCAGTATACAGCCACTAAAAACCAAAATTTAGATTAAATTTTTCAGGCTGGAAGTCTATGTATTACTTCAAAGGTTTGGAGACTTGAATCTGACTGCTGACGTTTTTTTATATTTTTTAACAAGAGCCGTACTTTCTGATCTTCTTTTAATAGTGTTATTGATTGAAGTTTTCTTTATTTTGTTGTTTTAGTTCCCAGTCCATTACTCCTCATCCCATGCCACAGGAGCTTCTTAGACTCGTGACGACACAGTTGTTACCATTCCTTCGCTGTTCGGCTCTGTTCTTTCATTTCCTGACTGATATTTCAGGACCGTCTTTATTGAAAGGTAACCAGCAAATCTCGAACAGAGAACAAGGGAGAAAAACCGAACTACTGTCTGGAAGGCTGATCTCCAAGGGGACTCCATAAAGAATTAATTTACCTTGTTTTAACTTTCTTTTTTGACGTAGCCTATTCGCGTGAACTAGTTCGGCCTTTGTGCTGAAGAGCGTGTACAATACTCGCGAGCTCAGCCAGGGAAACCATAGTAACATGGACACAGCGGTCAAACGTTTGCGCACGTGCGAACGTTGTTGTGGCCAGGGTCGTGGCTAGGTGGTGGCCTTCCAGGCTCTCAGAACCAAGCTGTTTTTAACAGGAATTAGACTATAAGACTAATTAGACTATGGTATTGGAATTATGGTGAAATGAGTGATTCTGGAATAGTTGAAAAGCAGCGAAGCTTTCCGTTCTTGCCAAGAGGTAGCTAAAGCGTTTACGCAAATTTCCAAACTACACGAGTTGTCATCCTAAAAGGTATGTTTTAAGTTACATAAGAGATATTACATTCGACATGTTTAGTTTTGCGTGGTTAATTAAATTATTTATGCGATCCAGATCCCAACCGACCCTCGTTGACCGAGGAGATAGAGTGCTTGAGCCGATACCTTTCAGTGCCTACAGACATGACGTGCTTACTGCAGTGGAATCAAGACAGGTCTTGTATTAGTTCGTCAACCATCTTCACCACCATCAAAAGGTTTGTGTCCTCATTCAAACTCGTGGTCGTGCACCGTGCGGCCATGTTTGATTTGTCACATGATTCCGAATGAAATTTGGGAAAAACAAGCACTAGTAATTTCTTTAAAGTCAAAAAAATAACTGCAAAATTAATCTTCTTTTTTTGTTTTTCCTTCTTTTGCTCTTTTGATAGGTGGTGTAGCCACGAGCATGTTAAGAAAACCTTGTCTACCGCGGGAGTTGAATCGCTTGGGTAAGTGAGGTTCTTTCCAGATGATGGTGAGAACATGGTATGAATAAGCAACATGAGGTTAACATTTCTGTCTGATGTAGGACTGTTTTTCGGATCATTGAAGACGGGAGTCGGCTAATCGCCTCCTCTATTCACTCTTCCCTTCATGAAACACTAGGTTCAGGTTTTACAATGTACCTTGCTGATTATCATACATCGTTACAGAACGGTCGAATTTACCCCGCTGGAAGAAATACATTTCAGTTAAGTGAGTGTGTGTTAGATGGACTCGCTATGCGGATTTATGTGGATGTAAAGTCAAAACCAAAAAACAAAGTAACATTTTCAATTTATCGGGCTTTGAGTTGACGGGTTGTCAGTGCTGCGTTTCATTTTTAATGAGTCGTACTTTTCTCAGATATTCAATTGAACCCAATCATTTGCTGAAGATTCCTGTGGACTACAGTGAGTTAATCAACCAAGCTTCAATGTTCACGTAAGTTCATTATTAGGATTGTCATTATCATTATAGCTGTTATTATCATTATCGTCGTCATTATTATCATTATCGTCATCATCATCGTCGTCTTCATCTTACTTTTTAAAGATGCAACTTTGTTCTTTTTCCAGCTGCCCTAATTCTGACGGAGATGATAGTCGTGCGCCAGCTTTATGTTTGATCTGCGGCGAAATGCTTTGCTCTCAAAGCTACTGCTGCCAAACGGAAATCGAGGGGGACAAAGTCGGAGCATGCGCTGCGCACGCCCGGAAATGTGGTGCAGGAGTCGGTGTGTTTTTACGTGTGCGTGAATGTCATATCTTGTTGATGGCCAATAAGAACAAAGGGTGTTTCTACTCGCCTCCTTATTTGGATGCATACGGCGAGACCGACCAAGGGCTCAGGTGAGTTCGTGAAAATTCTTTCCGATCGCGGTGACATTTAGAAAATGTAAGGCGAAAACTCTGGGTCCAGTTTAACCCTTAAATTCCTAAGATCTGATTGTTTATTCTCCCCTCTAGCTGCTACAAATTTCCACGCATTTAGTTACGAGAATTTGGTGTTAGATCAAGATAACAACTTCTACCTGATAAGTTTGAATACTCTCATTACATGAATAGATTTTTTTAGGGAGAAGTTACATTTAATGACTTTCGGGAGTTAAAGGGTTAACTGGCTGATTTCTTCAAAACTGAGCTAGTAACTTCCCCAATTTCTAAGCGTAGTTCGGTTAAACGGAAAAATAGTTGATGAGGAGTAGTTGTTTGCACAGTTGAATGGTATAGATGGATTTATAGGAGAGCTTAAGGGAGAGGAGGGTAAGTAAAATAAAAGTTTAAGTTAAACTGTTTTAAAAATAATAGCGCTGTTGACTTTTCGGCATCTTTTTTAATGGTTCAATTTACTATTTGGCCGTATGTAAGAGATCCAACAATCCTTTTCGGAATTACTTCCGATTTTTTTGTTTTGTTTTGTTTTGATTTGTTTTGCTTTGTTAATTATGAATATTGGAATGAATGTAAATTTTCATTTTCAACAACAATAGCACTTCAGTTCATCGCTTTCGTTTCCTTTTGTAGGAGGGGTAACCCACTGTATCTTTGCCCTGATCGATATCGGAAACTGGAGAAACTATGGCAAACTCACTCAGTAGCTGAGGAAGTCGCGCACTGCCTGGAATCTAATAGGAACTTGTTATCAATCGACTGGACAAATCTGTGAAAAGGCCTGGTCGCCAATTTAACAAACCATTGGACTTAAATTCTATTTTTGTTTCACATTTTTGTTTCCCTTTGGTTCTATATTACCTCTTGGGACATATATTCCTCGGTAAACTATTACTACAAGGTTTCTACCGCGATTTACCTCGTTACCTTAGACTTCTCAACATATACAATAACGAGAATACTGAGGCTGGCTCAAAGGTGCAGAGGAAAGTAGTTAACTAACAGGGAAACAACATCTTAAGACTTATCTCAGACTTTGAAAAATTTCTGTTGTTTTCTTCTCTTGTCGCTCATCCGTCGCACGAAGAACTCATCTTACGAGTAAATCTGGATACCTAGCTTTTAATGTGTAACCATCAAATAATAAGTAGCTGGGGGGGGGGGGGGAGTGGGGGGGGGCAATCTGGTAAGTACCTTCTGTTTTACAGTGTGCCTCCCCCGCCTCTTTGAAAAATCCTGGCTATGCACCTGTCATTCTTGGTTATTGAACCTTGAATACTGCGTGTTACCAGAAATATGGTTTGAAAACTCCTTACTGATGAAGTTTCCCTACAATTTCTCTTCTTTGTTGTCGCTTGGTTAATTAGTTTCAATTTTTGCGCTCAGACACTGATCAACTAATCGAAAACTGACCACATGATGCACGAAGAGCGATCAGATTCGGTCGTTGCGTTAGGTAAAGATAATAATTTGTGACAAAGCTTTTTGTAAGTGTAATGTAACCCGTACTTGCGCTTACAAAATTGCCAAAATTGTACGTAATATCCGTCGCAACCTTCTTAGCGGGTTCAATGTAATAAATTTGTTTCGATTTTGGGAATGAAGGTGTAAATAAATTTCGCTTTGATTATTAAAAGGATGAATTGAATAGTTTTCGTAAGTCTCATTCTTTTTAACCAAAATGTTAACCAAAAAAGGTTTTTTTTCCTCACTTTTTCGTTTGTTTCTTTGCTGTTTATGACAACGATACTAACTGTTCTCCGGTTTGCATTTACAAGTTTTAAAAGGACTAACCTGAAACCCATTGCGATTAAACTCAACTCTTCAGCCATTTCCTATCTTAATCGAGCGCTTAAGATCAACAATGTAATTGCTTCAAGATATGCATTTCTTGTGAGAGATTAAGACCGTCTAATTCACTCAGCCTAGTAGCAAGCCCTTGTTATCGGCGCTGCTGTGCGCATGTTTCTCCGCCCGTGGGAAGATTTGAGACGAGTAGGAGAGAGGATTGCCGGACGTCTGGCTCTAGAATAGCAGACCTCTCGCCGATTCACGTTGCTCTGTAAGGCCTCATACTTTCCCTCGGGCGAAAAAACGGTCGTGCCGAGGCGCTGATACGAGGGCGTGCTTGCAGGCTATAGTTGAATGGTCGGTTTGTATTAAACGTGAAAAGCTCGTGATCTGTTGTGTATGGTCAGTTTCCATAGCACAAGGTTAGCTTTTGAAACTGACTTTACTTGACTGTAGTTAATGATAAACCAGCTTCTTTGGCTGCGAGTTGTGGTTTGTCATCTATCGGGCTTGGGTCTGTCGCAGCAGTTGCAGAATTGTAGAAGATTAGAGTTACTGTTTAAACTGTTAGCTGTTACTTTGTACTGAATAGCACATCCGACAGCTGTACTTACGCCCCAACACACAAACACTGGGATGGCTACAAAATAATAAGAAGAAAAGGAAGACCGAATAAATGACTGAAATAATATTAGTTTAACCCCTCACACCCTAACATCAGTATGTATATTCTCCATGTTCCTCTCTACATATTTCTTAAGGTGCTGATAAGGAGAATTTAATTAATAATCGAGAGCTTCTTTAGTTGGTGATTAATTCTTCTGTTCTCATGACGTTAATGTATGATGCAGCAGTGTTTGTAAGGAGAAACTAGATGCCAGTCACTCGTTGGAGTCAAAGAGTTAACGCTAGAGACCAATTGTCATAGAAGTGTCCTTGTGTTCATAATATTTGGTTGTGGGAAACTTGTTTTATTATTTGAATGCAACGTTCGAACCAGTTTTTGACTTATCAGAGACAATTTTTAACCCCATAAATTCCGTAAAGGGCAATCTACCTCATCAGCCAACCTAGTCCTCAGTGCGCGAATGTTGAAAACATCCGAGTAGGGCTCTGTAGTGTTCTAATGACTCTCCCTCATTAATGGCAGTCATTTACTTTCAGTCCCCATTTTGGCCTTATTAGCGAAGACTGATCCCCGCTCCGTTACCTCTGAAAACCATGTGCTCGCCCCAAAAAATTCTTCCAGCGCCCCTCCCTCCCCTCCCCCCCCCTCTCTCTCTCTTAGGCGATAAATTATGACTGTACCCACCGTTGTTTGTAAAACGGACTGCCAGATGGTCGGGAACTTTAGCCCTGTAGGTCCAATTTGAGAGCTCTGATTTCAGCCCGTCCCAGAGAACGTCCCGGATTCTCAACAGAAAGGCCTCAATTGTGACGGAAAAACTTGTCCGAAGAAAATAGTCAGCTCCTAGGGGGGAGGAAAACAAAACAAAGAAAAATACATACCTAGCCATGTTTTAACTTTGGTAAATTTAACCCTTTACACCCTAGCATTAGTGTACATATTCTCTTTACTGTTCTTCATACATTTCCTAAGCTGCTGATGAGGAGAAGTCTTTTAAGAATCAAGAGCTTTCTTTTTTCCTTATGACCTGAAAAAGTAATTAAGGGGTGATATCTTAAGGAGAAATTGGGCCTACTGTCACTCTTAGGGATGAAAGGGTAACCTTAGAGAGACTCATTGTCATGTATGTCGTGATGATAAAATGGAGGAGTTACGGCCTTTAGAAAGCTTTATGAGTAGGAAGTGTACGTCAGTTATGCCCACCATAGAACACAGCAAATGATCCAGCGCAAGCTGTTGCTATGACTACGACCGGTTTCTCATAGAAGTGAGCCAGCGATCCGAACATGAGTGAAACTGTTGCCATCAAAGCGGCGTAGGCAATGTTACTGCATGAAAAGGAGAGAAGAATTTTGCGCATGTTCAGTCAGTATAGAGGTAACTGTAATTTAAGAGATGGTTGCAATTTTTAAAGAAAGCAATCGAAGTGGTCAAAACATCATGAAAAATCAGTCATACCTGTGAAAGTACTTGTACAGCGGAGTGCTAAGAATTGTAAGGCCAACCAGCTGAAAAACAATAAATGACTGCAAAATTTATTTCAGTCATCATAACTCTTCAAAAATCACACAACAAGAATGCAAACGGAATCTCAACACAGTGTCACGACGCAAACATGAAACCTTGTCGAAAAGCTCAACTCGACCGATAGAAAACTGTGCAATATCCCATACAAAGAAGCTTATATAGATTTATCAACTAAAAACTGTTATTCGTCTACTTATAAAGCCTCAAATCCTTGTGTGACAAGCATGTAAAGTTATCGTTCACCAGTGAACGATAGATTAGGCGCGAAATATTTCAGGATAGTTAATGGAAAGTCTAGGCAAGAGGAGAAATTTACTTTTTCAATAGAGAGATGTGCATCTTACAAACAAAGGACCGCTTTATTACATTATGTGGTGAAACTGTTGAGTTCGTCATTGAGCCAAGAGATACGAGGCTATTGCTGTACCAGTTTTTTTTTTTAGGTTCCCGTGACTTTAAAAAGAGAACCTTGGTACTACTCACCAGTCCTAGACACTCTCCGATTGTGAACACACCAAGTCTGTATAATCGACATCCTAAAAATCCACCAAACACACCGACCAATGCACTGAACAAAACGTGGGCTAGTAAAAAGGTGTATAAAAAAGATCGGTAACGTCAACACTTGCCTGATCTGTATGGACATGCACTCTAACTATACAGAGTGTTTGACAGGGTGGCTTTTTGTAGTAGAGATTTTGAAAAACGAGTGAGCTTAGTGGGACTTGGTCCACGATGTCCACGATATATGTTATACGATTATTTGCGTCTTGCGTCGGAGCCGAGGGGCGCATTTGATTTGAAGTACTTTACAGAGAACCTACTGACCTATTTCCTTCCCGTTAGGACCACAGCACAGTTGTGTCTTAAAGATCAGTGGGCTGAATACGTAGAAAATGAGGAATCCTAGAACAAATCCAGCGAGGAACATGCATGGCTGAAAAAGGGAAAAGAAGGCTGTCATTACATCATCTATCATGTACCATATAAAAACAACGAGAGAGGATGGAGCCTCTTGAAAGCAACTGAATTTGCACCCTAAGCTTATGTTCAATTGTTGTTGAAAATTCCTCTACGTCGTTTTAATCGTTGGGTTTGTTAAAAATGGATGGTGCCCCTCGTGAACTTACTCTGTTCTTTTCTCTTACTTACCCTAATTAGCCGATAACCAGCAGCCCACACCACTATACCAATCACTGCTGATATCTCGATTACAGTCACGGTGGCTGGATGCCTGCAATAAATGCACCATGGCATGGCAAAAAGACTTCGGCTTAATCAACGGAAGGATAATTAATGCCCATAGCACGAAGCTCATTTTATCGATATCTGTGAGCCCTAGAGGTAGGAAACCTCTGCTATCACCAGCTTTTCCCCAGATATAAGGTCTATGGGTTGTGCTCAGCGACAAACTTTAAGTATTTTATGGTCATTTGCATTTACGTAGACTATTTTTTATTTGAATCACGTTTATAGTCGAATACCATTCAGACGTTGGTAATAGCCCGACTATTGGATGATTGTCCCTCATGTTGCTTTGATCCCGCGAACGGCTCACGCTCGAAACGTCATATTCTAAAAAATCATTACACCGTGGACGTGTACTTTTAAAGAACTTCTTGTTACTAAATTGAACTGAATAGGTGTCTTGCCTGTTCACTGACTCAGAGCAAACTAGAGTTTCTTTAGGAAACTGATAACTTCGTACGCTTCAGCTTGAAAATACTGTACATTTTTTTTTTATTGTTTTAGTCTATTCCTTCGAAATTTAAAATCTATCTGAAGTCGCCCTCCGCAAACTGAACAGGCTAATCACTGTGTGCTGTGATCAAAAGCTCGAATGATGCGGACAACTCGTAGAACTTAAGTGTTCACTTAAATACAACAGACAGGTGCCATATTCATATCACACCAGGGTTAACTGGTGCCTCGTCTAAGAGGAACCAGACTTTCCTTTTACCACCACAGGGAACTCAGCGAGCAGAGTATAAAAAGCCACATTCACTATAACATAAACTTGTTAAACTCACTTGCTATAAACCAACTTGTTAAGTATTTTCTGCGTAGCTGCTTTGGTGAAATTGAGACCCTCGTCCAAGTTCATCTCAGTCTATAACGCGTATAATTGAATTCGTTTGGTTGAAATCTTCCGCAGACATTTGCTTGACTCTTTTTCAATGGTACAACGACTCACTGACGTTCCAAATAAATTGTAACTGTTGATCTAATTCGATGGCGGTACAGTATTTCTTTGAAATTTAAGCCGATGTATGCGAGAGAAAACGTAACGTGGATGGTGCCTGAGGAACAAGTCATCAGTTATTTTTGTCCCGCTGGTCATGGTTATGATAACCTGATCGATGCTGGGTGGACAGACGAACAAATCAAAATCAAAATTTTGACAGTGACTGCCTGGTTTGTCCAAAATCCTGCGTTCACTCTCGAAGGAGTGAGTACAACTCCTGAAACTCAGTCGTGCTGCATCGGTGGACATCAGTGGGGAATATCACAAATCAAGTAATTTGGCTTTATTAACTGAGTGAATAGCAACTTAACCTTCAAAGTTTCTAAGGTTGACGTTTCCAGCGTTAGCCCTCGTCAGAGAGGGGCTTTACGCTCTGAACCTCAGTTTTAGAAACTCTTTAAATTCAGTTGATAAAACCCAATTATCTTAGACGGAGAAATATAAGCTTCATCAGAATGTTATTAGAAAGAGGAGACTTCGTTAGCGATAACTTGAATGATAATTTAGAATTGGGAGAAAATTAATTCTAGTAAGATTGCTTTGCTAAGCTAAAGAGACAAAAACAATGCAAATCATTGTCCAAAGTTTAATGAGGCGAGTAAAATTCTCCCACTCAAAAACTTCTCAATCGATGATAAATTGATCATATAAAGTTCGCCGACGCAATGAGTGTGGAATATTGCTTTTAATCTTTTAAGGCCAAAAGACAATATTCCCCACATAAAATTACCTGAAAAGTATGAAAAACTGTAGGATTGTCACATTTTAATGAGGCTATCTGACGATTTTCAAGTGAAATAAGAAAGTGTGGAGATTCTGGAAAGCAAAACCACCGCGCCATTATGTTTTGATGCGTTTCCTACAACAAAGTACTTGAGCAAAGTGTTGCCCTGGTTACAAAACTTCCTGCACATCCATGAATTATCCAATATGTTGCTTAACGCAACACTTCTTCCCTCTAGTAGCATGATCACTAAGGGACACCTGCTTTTAAAGTACACCACAGTATCGATGATTACCATATAGCTGGCAGCGCCCATCTACAATATGAAGCAAATCCTGTAATTCAATTGGCTCTTCGAACCAATTCGTAAGGAGAAATATTGCTTGGCGTGGACTTCCAGAGTTCGTAATTTTTGGAGAATTTCGGCAACGAAGTGACCAGAGGCAATAGAGGGGAGTCAAAAAAAAAAAAAACATAAATGATATTTCTGGGAATTTCGAATTCCGAAAACCGGAAAAAAATTAAAACAGAGAGTGATTTGAAAGCATGGAATTGGCTTTGTCCAATGGAAAACGGGACTAGAGAACTTAGTGTCATTCCCGACCAAGTAAAAACGAGAAGAATTCCTATCAAATTGCATAATTTTTCAATTTGTCAAATGAAAAAAAGCACGTGTTACCATAGTTGGCTTTCTTTCCCAGCGCTCGGAAATAAAGAAATCATTCTTGATTCTTTTGAAAGGGAAATCTTTTTGCTATTTAATAAATCCTTTATTTGCCAAGCTCGTTCGGTCAGGCGACATAATAAAAAAGCGAAAAAACTCGGCCAATATCCAGCTATCTTGGCCTCAAGATTGTTCAATAATTCTTATATACCACAGCATGAAAACAAAGTTATAAGTCACGCAATGTTGTCTAACGCAATGTTTCTTCCCGCTAGTAGCGTGACACCTAGACTAGTTTCAGGGTCCCTTAACACAGTGTATCTAACGCAACCATTGTCGACTTGCTCCCGATCCTCTGTTATTCAACTCAACATGAGTAATGTCATCCCACGAGTCTTTCATCAAAGGTCTAGTGTCATTTTGATGGAGGAGAAATGCTCTCAATTTGGGTGGAGGAAGGACCACGTAGCGGACACCTTTATCATCAGGCACGGCACTATCAGTATTACAGCCACAGCTACAGCTTTTCATGAACAATTCTGTATCGATTTCTTGTGCAGTGTACATGAACTGCAAAATAGCGCCAACCGCTGACATCAACAGCCAGCCAAGAAACATCGCTAAAGCTGAAAGCAAAACACCACTGATATGCAAATGAAAATTTTACGTTGGTATTTGTACAATAGAAATTTAATTTAATTTAAATTAATACTGCTGTTTTCAAGGTTGTCGTAAAAAAGGACAAAAGTGCACGCGACAATATTGAGAGGTAATTTGGGTATTCAAAATCAATGAATTTTAATAAGTGAAATAGACAAATACATACATTCATCAAACCAGCCATGCCTCTTTCTTACACTGACGTTTTCTCAGATTTCCCCGAAATACTAAGGTTGAGGAAACGTGACCTAAAAACTACCCACAGTACCTTTCGGAGTTGTCGCGTGCACTCTCACGCTTTTTTTCGACCTTTCTTGACACAGTTGTATATTGAAGCCGGGTGAAGAAGAAACAGAGTACTTCTTTTAAATGGAAAAATGTAACTTAACATAACCCTTTAACTCCCAAGATCTCATTAGTAATTCTCCTCAATGTCTGCAATAGTTCTTGTGATGTTGGTTTGAAGAATTTGGAATTTAGTATTGAATCAACTAAAAATCCTTTATTTAATATTTGTCTTTATTCTCATCTCTTGTCTGCTTGATTTTGTATTGATATTGTAAGGAGAAATTCTATCCTAGTCACTCATGCTGAGTTAAATGGTTTAAAAGTGGTTGCCCCATACTATTTTTTTTTTAAAGGCAAAATCAGCAACCATTACTTTCTACACAATGACCAAGCTCTATAACCTAGACCTTAGAAACTTTTTTTCTGAGCCATTCTCTCCAAAAGTAAACTATTCACCTTTAAACACCTCTATATTTAAAGATGTAACCCTTGTATTCCACTAAGAGGGCTTGACATTCCTGGTTCAAACTCCCCACCCCAGCCAGGCAAGGTTCAAATTCCCCATCCACCAGACATGGACCACAGTCAAAATGCCCATGGGTTGCCTGGTTGGGGGGAGGGAAGATTGTTAAAGCTTCCAACTGATCAGCACATCACCCTCAAACTCCCAAGAGTGAGTGACATGTACAATGTCACATCTCCCAGGCCTATAATGTCAGTACATTATCCAGAAAACAGGTATTGAGAATACTCAAACTTATCGGGTATAAGTTGTTACCTTGATCTAACACCAAATTCTTGTAAGTAATTTGCAAAGAAATGTGTGGTAGCTAGTGGGGAGACTTAACAATCAGATCTTGGGACCTAAAGGGTAAAGATACAAACCTTTCTGGGTGAATTCCTTGTGGGCTTCATGGAATTCCAGTGTCACATGAGCAGGATGGTTTGCTGCTTGGCTGAAGGCATCCTTTGTCTTGAACAGGATTTGTTCAATTACAACAGTGAATGCTGTTCTACAATAATGATCCAAACCTGGAAACAAGAGTCCATTATAAGTTAGCTAGCCCAACAGCTAAATAATACATTGCCTCTTTAATTTGTCATTTCAGATGATACTACATTCAAAAAAGGGTTTAAGTCACCTAATATCACAAGCAAAGACAGCAGCATGTTTTGGAACTTGAAGGGGGGGGGGGGGGGCGGGAAAGGGAGCGCATTATACCTCAAGCTAGATGCACAACTTACTAGGAGCTTCCCATTAAATTTTGTTCTGATGTAAGGCTAACCCTTGAAATGTCAGATATAAAGACTCTTTTGGGTGGCCAATTTACGTTATCAACAAAATTTTCTCAGAATACCCCCACTGACACAGTGCCACACTTTCTTTAGAAACTTGCTAGTTACTGAGATGAATGAACCAGTTTTTGAGAACAGCATGTTCACCGCTGACAAGGATTTGCATTCAGAATGTGACAACTTGTTACAAATGGGCACCTTGGCTGATTCTACCGAATTACAATACACTGAGAATAGATTTATTTTGAACAAATTCCCAATCCTTTCTGTCAACCATACAATACTTATCATGTTAGTTCAGAGAATTTAGTATTGAATCAACTAATTATCCCCAAATTGATATTTTTCTTAATTCTCATCACTTATCTTATTGATATTGTATTGTAAGGAGAAATTCTGTCCTGGTCACTCATGGGAGTTAAAGGGTTAATGTATATTCCAATTACAAAGTTGCATTGGTAATAGCATTTGGGAAGGTCAGTTCGAATGGCGATTGCAACAAACAAGTTTGCTTGTCGTTGGTAGCCGTGTAGTATTTTAGTGCTATTGAATTGTAGCCTATTCTCTAAAACAATAAACCACCAACAATAGAAAAACAAAAGGACTACCTCATACATACTAATGAGGTTGAAGTCTCAAAGTTGTGTGTGCATGTGCAAATTTTTAACATGCACAATTTTTTTATTCGCAATTGCATGTGACTTTTGGCATGTTTAATTCGTGTTTTTCGGTTAATGTATATGTGAGCGGTACTGTAGTTGGCACAAGCAAGATGATTATCATATAGATCAATGAGTTCATGATAAATTAAGGCAACAGTTACAGTGTATCAGATTTTTTGGTTCACTTCTGGTCTTTTGTCAACTTTGATTACCCACCAAGAAGAAACATGAGAGATCCCATGAGAGATGTTGCACAAATGACAAACAGTTTCTCAAGCCAGACAGCAAGGATTCCGACTACCAGACCAGCAGCACCATAAACACCATAGAAAGCCAAGTCACTGTAATAAAAATATGACAATTTAGTCATGAATGATGATACCAACAACAGGGCTCGAAATTAACTTTTAAGTCCAATTGCAAAGTTTTGTTAATATGATTTTTTTTCCACTAGCAAACTGGTGAGACCACTAGCAAATTCTTTCCCTTGAAATGTCAATGACCATATCTGTTATAAAGATTAGAATTGATATTTTGCACAGGCCATTAATGTGCTGAAAAGTTTAATAAAAGAGGTATCAAATGTTTGGTCTCTTTTGCCATTGTCATGACAGCCACCACCTATTTACTGCATGTTTGGGAATGGATGATTCTAACTATCAAACCTTTGCTAGTGGATATTTTTCTCACTTGCAGATTATCAAACTCAATGGCATTTTGAAAGTTTGCAAGCATTAATTTGAGCCCTGAACAAAATTGAAGTGAGTGAAGATAGAAGCTGCAAAATAGTAGTGACACTTGATCGTTCCTCCCACCACAGACAATGCAGTTTTTGTAACCCCTTTAACCCCTGAGTGATTAGCATCTAATTTCTCCTTACAATATCACCCCTGAATCAAACATTAGGGTAACAAGAATTAAAGGAATGATCATCAACTATGGAAGTTCTAGATTTTTTAGCAAATTCCCATAGTCATTACCTTAGGAATTGTATAGAGAACAGTATGGAGGATGTGCATATTGATGTTTGGGTGTAGAGGGTTAATGAGAGTCAGCTGTACTGTTTGCAATACTGCATGTAACATACCTTGTCAAGTGTTTGGAAAACCAGAAAGTGACCACTGCTATAGAAATTGCCTGTGAAAATAGGATTGAAGGAAACAATGACCAAGAGTTGTGGGTCTCAATCAAAACATACAGTTTATCAGTACAGTACTCTAGAATAACTAGAATTCATGTTATGCGAGTCTGTTCAGTAACAGATCACAGATAACATCAAAATGTGGCACATGATGCACAACCAAGTGTGTCACTGATGTTAAAGTTATTACCACATTTTGACATCTCCTGTGATCTACTGCATAACTTTACTGACCCACAGCAATATAGAATCCATTTGTTTCACATAAATACAATATAAAAGCAAAAATATCCTGTTGGTGGTGATGTCATGCATGTACATCTGTCCTCCAACAGATCATCATAAGTAAGAACCAGTCAAAATAAGGGTGTAGGTCAGCTTTTTATGTATTAAAACTTTGTTTTATGGGTTGGCAGGAGAGGTTTGTCAAACCTTCTGAATATTCAACAGGAGATAACACCAAGCAACACTGATCAGCAAATTCTACTTGGTGATCAGTAATGTCAGAGTAAAATTGAAAGCTCACATTTCCCAAAATGTAACACCAAAACCATGAAGAATAAATCTGTCTTTTTACCAAACTGCAGGGTGCTCATCAGTATCTTGGGTATTTTATGGAACACTATGGCAGTATGTACACTCTGAAGTAGACTAATTGTAGATACAGTATTAAGCTTACCCATCCAACAATGCAACCCATACAGAATACACCAATCTTGTAAACATAACAGGCTAGTGCTCCAGCTAGAAGCCCACAGATAATGCTGATGGAGATGCGAACTGATACAAACCAAACAAAATTAGATCACTTTGGTCATTTCAGAGAGCTATACACCTGACAGACCTGAAAGGTCTCTTACTATAAATAGTTACTTATTTTTAGTAATTATGCATTACAATTATTGCTTACAAGTGATTTTCTTTTCTAAAGGGGTGGTGAGGGGGGTAGACAGATAGGTAGAATTTTCGTGCAAATTTACATTGATACAAGTTAAACAATACATTGTCCAGGTGTTTGTACATTAATGCACAAATTTTTGAACAGGTCCAAAATAAAGGAAATTACTTTTTACAGTTTGAACCAAAGGGTTCTGTGAAATCAAATTGTGGCCTTGTTTTGAAAAATGTACTCGGTCATAAGAATGTCTTCAAGTAGAGGATTAAAAAAAGAGGAAATTATGACAGTCAATGCAAAGTAACATTTACATAATATCTTACCTTCTCTGTTATGGCTTCCATCACAACAAAATTCTGTACTAAACACATCAGGACTTATGGAGTAAAATCCAACACCAGCAAACGCAAATGCAGCCACAATAACAATGGGCTAATGATGAAGATATACACGCATAGTACAAAAATGTTATTATTCATTATGACTCTTCTGTAATTATATGACTCTTACAAACTGATCAAGACTCTGAGCTAAGGAATAGGAGGGGGGGGACTTAATTTAAACTTCTTTACTGAATTTTTCACCTGATTGGTGCTGTGATAATTTGTTTGCTATAATTAAGACTAAACTACCCTGCATCTGTGTCCTGCTGGCCATGGCTTTGCTCTAAAGATGAGAAACAAGGAAGCTGTGGTCTTTTAAGTACATAAATGTTTACCTTTATGAGCCTATAACCAAGAATCCAGACAACCAGTCCAAGTACAGACAACACTAAAACACCAACTGGATGGTTGTACCTGAAAGAGATACCAATGGGATCTTTATTAATGAAATGTTGAAAACTCAAAGGAAAATAATTTCAGGGTTGCATTTGAGGATTACGGTTCCTTAAGACGGGTAATTTTGGACAGAAAGCAAAACACTGAATTGGGGATGGCACTTTGATTCCCTTTCCTCCACCAAAATAAAAACAAAATATCATATTTCATATTGTCTTTGAAATGGTGAATGAGAAGAATTATCCAAAAGATGTCCATTAAACCAAAATGAGTTTCTATTTGTAAGTTCATTAATGCGTGGACAAATTTAAAATACTCAACAGTCTTCCCTTGATATTGGGAATGGTATTGTAAAGAAACATGTACAGTAGTCATTAATCCAGTTTGCATAATTCATTAACTGGCTGAATTAGGGGAGCAACTGTTAAAAAGGGACATTTTTTCAGTTGCACACAGAACAAACTACCAACAGTAGTAAGGGATTGATCTGTTGGATAGTTTCATGGAGGTGTTAAGACCAGCATAAAACTTTTGCACTGAGAAAAGTCCAAAATTAGTATTTGTCTCTTTCTACTAATAATACAAGTAAATATATATACAGAGTGAAGCAGCCCTTTAGACAACACAAACATTTGGGGCTGTCATTCTTTACAAGACTGTATTTAGTTGTTAGAGGGTGGTAAGATCAGGGAAGTCATATAGTGGGATGTTACAGTATGATTCAAAGGCGAAAATTACAGAGGCAATACTTTTTTAAATCTCAGTTGTAAAAGCTATCATAGGCATCCAAGAACAAAGCAAGCCACTGCCACAATTATGAATACCTGGTACTGTGAGTTCCTGGCTGTTCAAAACCCTTTACTTTCATGTGCGTCTCTGCCTTTACTGGCAAAATTCTCGATACAAAAGCCACCCGCTTGTTGAATTTAAATTTCTGATCCAGCTAAGCAACGAATTTCAATTTCCGGAGCAGAGAAACATCCATAACTAGCACAAACACAATATATTGACGCAACATGTAGTAGCTTGCTTACAAAAGGAAATCCTATAAATCACGCTTTAGAGTAATAGATTTAACGGCAAATTGACATTCAAAGCAACGTGTCTGATATGGTGAAAAATGAATATTTTCCACAGCAATTAACCATTACAAGTTTATCTGTATCTGTTGAAAGGTGATTGTATTAACCTTTTTAGTTCGTATGGTAAATGACATACCGCTTTCTAATATCTAACAGCGATAATTGTTATCGTAAAAATAGAAAGATGTTGAATTATTAAGAAGGAAACATTCTTTACCCGATGTAAGACTTGTTTGTTGAAATCCATCGAAGAAGTCCATTCTGCGAGCTGTTCATGTCTTCTCGTTCATTGCTTGTGTTATCGAGCAACTTAATTTCCACCGCGGTTTATTCCAAATTCTTCGACGAATGTGTAAAGAACAATTTACATTTAAAAATCGCCATCTGACGTATTCACGCATTGGTGCGATCGTCTTGAAAGACTAATGACACTTTGCAAATGAAATTCTTTTGAAGCCGACAGAGTTTCCTCGAAACCGATCACGCTTACTCGATTCCAAGAAGTTACGTAATATTTAGGATGTCGTGTAAGAACATTATTGTATCCCTTGGGTGGGAAACCGCGTTCACTTAATCCCTCTGCGAAGGTTAGGTGGGAGTGGGTTGATAGATTCGTTGCCTTGCATAGTTCTTTTACATGTGACGATCATGTGCCAATTTTGTGTGAAAGAACAGCATCCTCAACGGGTATGATAGTGTTGTGTTTAAAGACGCTTGCATTTCGGCTGTTGACACATTAAAAGCGTATGTTAAGCCCGCACTTTATTCAATTTCATGTCTTAAGTGAAATTTACTGACAGCAGCACATTTTGATTTCGTCTTCTTTCTTTTGAGATTTATCGCATTAATCCGAGTGCGCAGTTAACCGCACTCGCTCTTTACCTGGTTGTGGCAGAGCGGGAGTAAGAACAAGGGATATTTCTGAATCTTTTTTGAAGCGATACCTATAATAAAGATTGGGTTTGTTGACTTGTGAATGACACTGCAACGCGAGCAAATCTGTGGATCAGTTGCAACCAAATAGACACAGAATTTTAACAAGTTTTATGATCTCTGAAGCCAGATGTTCTGAAGTACCATTTATACCCTTCCTAGTAACCTATATGTGGCATTACGATCATTTTAATTTAACCCTTCCGTAGTCCTAGATCTCATTAGTAATTCTCCTTACTTTCTGCCGTTCAATTCTTATGATTTTTGCTTGGAGAATTTGGCATTGTATTGACCAACAATCCCCCAGCTAATTGACATTCTTCTTCATCTGCATAACTTTTCTGCTTGATGTTGTAAGGAGAAGTTCTGTCTTGGTCATTCATAGAAGTTTAATTTAATTATCTGTAATTACCATTTGTTTCTTTAGTAAGGGAGTATACTGTATGTCAATGCACATTTCGTCAGTTGCATAAATTTTTTATCCTCCTCACATATGATTATCATAAATTGAAACAAAGAGTTGGATTATTTTAACTAGTGAGAGGTAAACACCTACTGAAAAATACAAGGGAGGAGAGGGGGGGTTGCTGAATGGCTGATGATCCATGTTTGTGCTTGAGATGATGGAAATTGAAATGCTTTTTGTTATCAATAGGGAACAATCTGCTTGGAGAGCGGATCATATTTAATGAACTATGCTGGCTGTAAGGGGTGTGGGAAAAGAGAACCACTTAAAACTTTAGAAATGTCAACTCAAGAGGATAATGATGGAGAGGAACTTGTTACCTACAAACGTATGTAATGCCAAGAAAACAGTACTTTAACTCAGGTTCAGTGAACATTAGTGAATTAACAATGAATAGTGGGATAAAATGATGATACAAGTGCCCAACAATAAAATGATTATTTAAAAGATTTAATTGACTTGTTGGTTTTTACAGATATTTGTCCTAGCTGTGAACACCTTGTGGCTGAACATGAATACACATTTAGGGTCGAAGGAAAGTACCAGGTAATAATTCAATATTAAAGAAAGATGCTTTTTTGAATTCCTTGTGAGCACAGGACAGAGAAATAATTCTGAATCTTTAAAGCAATTCAAACCTAAGGCCTTCAGATTCTTCTCCCACGCTGTACTGCCAAGCCACAGAGACTCTTTGTGGTAATCTTAACCCTTTACATCCTAACATCAGTATGGATATTCTCTATACAGTTCTCTATAAATTTCCTATGGTACTGACAAGGAGAATTAATTTTGTTTAACAAGCAAGAGCTTCTTTAGTTGGTGATCATTTCCTTTATTCTTCTGACCTTAATGTTTGATTCAGGCAAGATATTGTGAGGAGAAATTAGATGCTGGTCACTTCTAAGAGTCAAAGGGTTTAGGCCTGCACTATGTTCACATTTGAAATGTGTTCTTTGTACTGCTAGGATCATATCATGAGTTCAGTTTTGATTCAACAGTTTTTTTAAATTGTTATCAAGTTATGTGAAATTCTACTAAGTACTTAGAACCTTTTTCATAAGCAATCTTTTTTTGTTTTAGGAATACATGATGACTTGTCTACTTTGCGGCACTGCAGCAGACTCTATAAGTATTCTTCCTGAGAGTCCTACTGAAAACACCAGCACCTTTTAGCTTTTGGCTTGGGGACATTTACTTAATATATGAAGTTCTACATGACCAGTCATCCATGTACATGCACAGAGATTTGTGCACAAGAGTTTTGTGCTATCCCATTTACAAACTGTGCAATGTTTTAAAGTTTTATAACTTTACCTTGTCATCTTGAAGTCAGAATACCTTATGATGAATTGGGCTTCAACAAAATAATACATGTTACATTTATTTTCAAAAATGATATTCCTAAAGTATGATGGTGAATGACATGCGTTAAAAAGTAAGTTGACTGATTTATTGATAGCATCTGTACTCTGCAATAATACAAGAATGTTTCCACTGAAACAACTTCTAGTCTATGTTTTTTGGACAATTGTGGACAACTAGTGAACAAAAGTTAAATATAGGAGATTTCTGGAATGTATTTTTATACTATACAGTGTGCATGTATATCAAAATTTCTCGCAAGTCCTATTACCGTACACCTTATGATTAACAAGAAAGCAAGATGTCTTGCTAGAGAGGTTGGAGTTAAGTAAACATGATATACATGTAAAACACTGTGTCTACTTTTCTGTCCTTATTAGCTGATATATCAAAAATGGGAAGAATTTGAACTTTCAGTTGTAACAATGGTCTTCTGTTGCTCCACACAATTTAATGTAACAAGTGATGTTACATGCCTTATCTTAACCCTTTACACCCTAACATTGGTATTCCTACTCTCCAGACTATTCTTTTTACATTTTCCTCTGATATTAACAAGGAGAATTTGATTGGCAATCAGGAGCTTCCTAAATTGGTTATTGAAGTTTCCTTTATTCTCATGATCTTTACAAGAATGATACTGTAGGGATACATGTAACTTACTGGCCAGCCACTCTTAACCCTTTAACTTCCATGAGTGACCAAGACAGAATTTCTCTTTACAATATCAATACAATATCAACCAGATAATTGATGAGAATAAAGGAAAATATCAATTTGGGGATAATTAGTCGATCCAATACTAAATTCTCTGAACTAACATTATAAGAATTGTATGGTTGACAGTAAGGAGAATTACAAATTTGATCTGGGAGTTAAAGGGTTAAGGGTTAAAGGCCTTTTAAATATTAAACTTGTTGAAGTACCACATAAATGCAAACATGAGCCCAGCTGGTTTATGTTTGGTTGCATCAAACACAAACTCTCTGCTCTTGTCAAGTGGTAGATAAAACACCTCTATCCTTTCCCCTTCATTAAGATTTCCTCCACCTTGACTCACAATCATTTCATCAGTCACTTCTGCATAGAAGAATGTCTGTAGGGAACCAGTGCTTCCTACCCCACCTCGAAATGATACAACTTCTTGCAAGTTTTCTTCTGGAATGTCATAACCACACTCTTCCAAGATTTCCTGCTTCATTAAACCTGCAAGACTCATGTTTTTATCAATGATACCAGCGCAGAGTTCATAAGTGACTCCTTCATTGAATGGAGCTGTGATTGGTAGGGATGAGTCATCTGCTGTCATGGTAACTGCACTGCCATCAGTCAATGCCTTCTTGTGGAGATTTCTGTTGACATGCATGTAAATAGCTGGAATAGAAATGCAAACATGAGGGTTACTTATTTGATTCCTTTCACTCTCAGATGTGACCAAGAAGTAAATTCTCCTAACCACATCTAAACAGTATCGAGCATAAGGGTATTGAGAAGAAGGAAACATTCCATCTGGTTTATGCTGTGTGTGATTTGCTTTGATTTGACACCAAATTATCAGATGTAAAATTATAAAAAGTGTGTGGCTAATAGCAAAAATAATGATTTTATTATGAGATGTTGAGAGGGAATTGAACATTCACCTGGTCTAAACTGCTTCACAAGAACGAAAGACTGTCGTGTGGTGTTAAACAGGAGTGCACAGACACTGAAGGAAAACAAACTTGGTCAATTCATAACAATTTCAGTATCTTAAACTATATACTACCTCACTAGTATGAATCATTTAAATGAACAACTACACTTTCTATAGGAAATGTATCGTTATGATTGTGACAATTCCTCCTTAAATTGTGGAGAGTCTAAAGTTGTAATTTCTGTCAGGTTTGAAGGCTTCAATTTTCTACTCTGGGAAGTGAGCAGTGTCTTAATTTCTTTTTCGAATATATCCACTGTGGAAAGACTCTGAATAAAATACTCACAGGGGGCTAGCTGATATCTACATAAGGAAATATTTTGTGAAGCACTTTAAAATTACCTTATTCAAAAATAGGAGTGCTTATCTTTTAAAAAATGACTCTCAATCCAGAGAAAACATAACCAATTCAATTGGTAGCAGTGTCAGCCAACAAGGCTTCTTCAATGTACCCTTATGAAGCGTTCTTTCATTCAGATAACTATTCACATACCTATCATGTACTGTTAAATAGTCCCATTTTCTTTCCTGACCATTCTATGCATTTAAAAGAGACATGAAAATTCAATGATCCTCTAATTGTGCAGCTATCAATGTTGGTTAAGATTATTGGGCCATATTCTTTGATCTCATGACTAAGTTAAACACCAATAACGTCAATGTTAAGAGTGTTGTATTGTGTACTCTCAGGCTGGCATCAACAATATGTATTTGTTTGACAGCACTGTCTGTCTACCTGGTATATCAAAAGTTAAAGAATGTACAAGGACATACTCATCGTGTTCCTTGACATAGTCCCATTCTCTGGGCAGACCATTCTTTTTTAAAGACAAAGGAAAAAAGGAATTGAGAAAGTTTTTACCAAGGATAACAATAAAAAAGTTATATAGTTGTTTAACAATAAAAAAAAGGTGATGAGAATAGAGAGTTGGAAAATAACATCCTACAAACTTTTCACTCCAAATTCCTCCATCCATTTTATAATTGTAAATGAACCAGGGAGCCAATCTTATTGGGTCTGACTTATCATTTATTTTCAATTGATTGATTAATAAATTGCAATGTAAAGAAAGGGGAGTTCAAGTTGAAAATTATTGATTTGATTAGAAGTTGAATGGGATGTGTAATAACCGCTAATCTTTAGGGATTTTGTTATGGTTTCAATTAATATCGAAATGCTTGAGAGAATTACTAGTGAGATCCTAGGATTCAAGTTAATCACTGTTTAGGAAGCATGTTGTGGACTGAGTAATCTCATAGGCAACCAAGCTTAGTGTGGTGTGAGAGTTGGTTACCTGATAAATTCTGAAAAACATTCACAAGATGGTAGTTCTAAGTAGATGTCTATCAAAGTCCTCCAAAAAGCCTCATACTGACCCTACTTTTGTAATTCACTGTTTGCACTTTGTGATCATGTCTTTAAACATCTCAACGTATTAATATAATTATAGTCTTGATGAACTCGGTACCATTCATGATGATATTACATAATACAATACCACTGTCGTTGATTCTAGAGTCAATCGATGCTGCAAACTATTGTCATTTTTGTTGAGCGCATTTAAATAGGAAATTTGGAAATGAATTAATTCTGTCTTTTTTCTTGATCCGATGGAAAAATTTCAGGTGCCTAAATAAGTACTGATCGCAGGTTTTGAGTACAAGATATGACTAAAGGACAGCCAAAAGACCTTACTACCAAGCCTATTCAACGCCAAATTAACGCTAACTTTCTTTTCAACCTTCAACATTTGAAATCGCCTGACCTGTTTGAAGACAACTCTTGACGGCTGGATAAAGCGAGAGTTAACGCAAGGCACTACTTTCATATCTGTTATCTCAAGTCCTTCCATCTCTTTTTTGCAACGAGGAAACTCAAAATTAGAATGCAACTTTCTTACTGCCTTCACTGTAACGCTTCTGAGTGATGAAATAAGTACAACTTTAGCTGGTCTAATTAGGACACTTGCCATGAAACATCTTAATCTGTTCCAGCCCTCTCGATCGAAGGCCGGCCAAGTGTCACAATCTCGCGTCTCGTATTATGTAACTGTTGCGTGACGAATCAAGTTCCAGTTGCGCAACAAGCGCGTGACAAGCACTAACTTTATTCGAACTCTTAATGAAACGTCATTAAATTTTTCGCGGTGCTGTTATCGATACTCAGTAAATAAACAACCAACGAGTCAAGAAAGACCCCTAATTTTGTAGCTTAATTGGCCTTCCCGTCAGGCAAACTACCTGGATTGTTGGTGAAGTCTATTCAGTTACCTAGTGAGATTTCCTTAAAGGTGATAGCCTTTTGTAAAGGAAATTCTAGAGGAAATTTATTATATTCTTGAAAGTAAACTGGGTAATAATAATAATAATAATAATAATAATAATAATAATAATAATAATAATAATAATAATAACAACAATAACCAAAAAATAAAATAGAAAGCAAACAAACCAACAAACACACTCCACAAGAGAAAGAAAAGCTTTATTTTATTTTTACAACCGTTCAAATTCCTTAAATTTTAGTTTCAAATAAATATATTAATGTCTTTTGTAAAGCAGAATCCATTCAAAATTATTAATACAACTAATTTTTGGTATGTCATATGTTTTAAGTACTGATGCTTCCTATTAGCAAATACATTTATTATGAGGTTGCTGATAAATGTAATCAATTCCTTGTAGCATTGAATTCCACAAAGCAACTACCATGATTGAAGTTTTGCATCATGTTTTGTACTCTTGGTAAGTGTATTTACAAAAACAATTAAATAGATTTAAATTTGTCTTTCACCATGTATTATGATGTACCAAAAAAATAATAGAAAAACATCCTGCAACTCATGACATAGTAATGAGTGATGGGGGAGTGTGCATGATGAGACCAAACAATGGCTGCATAGGAGATGACTAATTACATAAATGCATTTTAATCTGTAAAGCTTAACTAAATTTAAGCTTGCACAAGGGAATTTTGCTTCCATTGCCTGGTATATATTAATTTTTAATTAATATATTAATTTTTGCCCTAGATCATGGAACACTCCAAAGTTCTAACTATTGTGGAATTTTTTTGTTTCCATACAATTTTTGAAAGGAGCCTTACAAAAGTTAAAAATCAAAGATTATTTTCACAGAAAACTGAATTCAGTACCATGGAAACAAGCAGGCATACAACAAAGAAATTCACCAGCAAAGATAATTATCAAATGATTATATAAAAAAACCATATCAACTTTCAGTATGATCAATGCTAAAGTTCATCTTTCAGTGACCTTTGCTTTGATTGTCTTCATCTGAAGCAGTTACTGTAATTCCTCTCTTTCCATCTCTGGCATTCTAGGTTTTCAACCAATAGAAATAAAGAATAAGCTGACCTGAATTACTAGTATTTAAAATGGCAAGTATTTCATAATGCAGTATAGAATAACAGTTGCAAAGAATGTTTTTTTCTGCTATTTCATTTCCATGGCTCAGCTTTTTAGTTCTATTGAAAAGGGAATGATTTCATGGGCTGCCACCTTTAAATCATAGCTGAAAACATGCACAGTTTGTGATCAAACTGTTCTAAAAATGTACCCGATGGGGTAGGATTTGTATAAAAAAGTTAGAAAATAGCAAGAAAATGGCAATTATTGTAATTTTTTAAGTTTATCACTCCCTGTAATTAAAGTTTTTTTTTTTCAAATTTCAAATTTGTATGAATGTACCAGCAACTTTAATTGTAATTGGTTCGATTGCCATCACAGTAAACTTACCCTGTGTTGTAAATGAACACTGCTGGGATCATGATGATTAAAGCAGAAATATTGAACCAGGAACTAGTGTGAAAGTAGGGATGCCACCGGAAAGGTTTTTCTTGAAACAACATCCAAAAAATGAATCCTAGGGGTGTACAAAGAGCCTAAAGATTGAAAGGAGAGAATACAAAAAGTAACTAATGGAGGTGAGTTGAGTGAAGTCTAACAGCCCATATTTGGTGCAAGGCACCAAACCTTGGTCAAAGTTAAGGGATACAGGAAAAAACAGGAACAAAAATGTCTGAAGTGAATGGTGTTATTACAATATCAAGGATTTTTTTACTCTAATTCACATGAAAAGTGTACATCAACTATGCCCGTCAAAGATATATGAGAAGTATACATGTAAAAAATGTACTGCATATCACAAAGAGTTTTCACATATTGCCTTTCAGTTACTTCTCAAAGTCTACATGTGCCAAACTCTACCTCACTCAAGCACTCTGGAACCTTGAGTGTAACTTGTGGCTAAGTAAAATTAGAATTCTCAAACTTGCCCCACCCACAGAATACATGAGTGACAAATAAAGTTTTTGTATGCAGCTAATCTTAATATTCATCAAGTTTTAAAAAAAACATGGATTTTTAACTCTAAGCATCAGAATTTTCACTTTGGAACAAATCAACCTTGTGTCTTTCCAAAGTTTCTACAATTGGTACATAGTATGCAAAAGACTTGTTTGCAACCTAAACATCAGTTAATCCATATTCTCTATACTCTTCTCTAGACATTTCCTTAGCTTCTGGAAAGGAGAATCTGTTTAACAATCAAAGCCACTTAGGTTTGCAATCATTTCATTAATTATTGTGATCTTTATGAATGATTCAGCAGTATTTCTGTAAGGAGATATTACATGCTGGTCACTTGCAGGCTTTAATGGGGTTGAGAAACTCACCATGACAATTGCAAGTAATGTTGCTCCCTCTGAATATCGAAGAAGCAATGCACAACCACAGACAACCATAATATAACCAGTGATGAACAAAAATGCAAGGACACCAGGAGACCATGAACATCCTACTCCACCAAATATGCACTGGATCCCAAAAATCCAACTGAATAAAATTCGCAGGAAAATATTAGATACCTGGTTGTGGACATATTTTCTGACACTGGTCTAAGAGAAGATCATTTGACTGAGGGAGTAGAAGAGCTGACATGGCCACTTTTTCAAAGGCAAGTTCACATTGGGCAAAAATTGTCTAGCTGGTACATATGTGATTCCTCTGAAGGTCTAAGGACCATTATACAACTGCTAAAAACACTATCAAATAAATGCTTACACTTCTACAAGTGTGTCAACCCTTTACACCCTAAAATCAGCATGTATATTCTCCACACTTTTCTCTGCACATCTCCTATTAACCTGTTAACCCCCAAGAGTGACTAGCATCATTTTCCTTCTTACAATATCACCCCTGAATCACACATTAAGGTCATGAGAATGGAGAAAATGATCACCAACTTAAGAAGCTCTTGATTGTTACACAAATTCTCCTTGTTAGCACCTTTGGAAATGTATACAGAACAGTAGAGAGAAAATGCATAATGATGATAGGGAGTAAAGGGTTAACAAGGGGAATTTGACAAACAATCCAGGGCTTCTGTAGTTAGTGGTCATTCCTTTATTCTCATAACATAATGTTTGATTCAGAGGTGATACTGTAAGGAGATATTAGATGGCAGATTAAGTTAAAAATCAAAACTAAATTCTAAACAGCAAATAAAAAATTGCCCCCTTTTTTAAATTTGCAATTTATTTTCAAAAGTTTTGAGCATTGCTTGGCAATTCCCAACTAATAATAATTTCCCATACTCACTTTTGAATAAATTCATGAAGGTTCCTGGTCTGTCCAACTCCAGGAATGATATCCACCCAGAATAGAGGCAACAAAACAAGAAATTGTGCCAGTGATGTCCAAAACAGGAAAGATACTAAGCCAGCTTGAGTTTGATTGCTTCCTCGCAACTTAATAGCTTTTTCCTCCATAACAAAGGAAAGGGCTGAGATCCCCTTACAAAGAGAAACAAAATCAAAAGAAAACAAGAACAAATTTTCAGTTAATGTTAATTACAGCTGTTTTGAGAGAGGTTGTCAAAAGAAGTGTAAAAGTGCAGATGACAACCCCAAAAGGTATTCATTTTGTGGGAGGTTTTCAGGTCATGGCTCCTTGACCACAGGACTTCAGGGAAATCTGAGAAACATAATTGCAAGGTCCCTGTTTTCAACAAACTTTATTGAAATTTCTGTAAATGGTATTTGTTATACCTCAGGGCAACAATTCAGGGGGTGAAATTGGTGTGAATTCTCCTTTCTTTCTATTCAATAAGCTCCTTTTTAACAAACACCATGTGCAAGCATTTCAAGTGAATAATTATTAGCCTTTACCAGTCATGCTGTAGGCCACTCAAAGTTTAAGGAGAGGTGTCTCAAAGAGAAGACTATTAACCTCTTTCAGTTAACCCTTTAACTCCCAAGATCTCATTAGTAATTCTCCTTGCTGTCTGCTATACAATTCTTGTGATGTTAGTTGGGAGAATTTGGGATTAGATCAACTTATAATCCCCTAATTGATATTTTTCTTTATTCTCATCACTTGTCTGCTTGATATTGTATTGATATTGTAGGGAGAAATTCTGTCTTGGTCACTCATGGGAGTTTAAGGGATAAGAAAAAAAATTTAACATTTATACTAGGTGTGAAGAACATTATATGAAACACAACCCTGCTTCTGCCGTCATTTTTGCAATACATTTGCAAGGAGTGGTTTTACAAATGTCACCCCTCATATTAGCATTTAAATACTAATCTTGACTTACAAATCCAAGCATGAATGCTAAAGGCCATAAGACTCTTCCTGCACCAGTTGCTCCTCCAAGATGTCTTACAGCTCGAGGATCAATATGTGGGTAGAAAGTTGGAATAAGAGAGATAAAAAGTCCAAGGACAACTGCAATGGCAGATAATAACTTTCTCCTTGTAGGAACCTTCTTTAAAAAGAGATATCTGTTGTGAGAAGGAAAAAATAAGAATGAGGTCACACAGGCCAAGGAACAACATTTAAACAAGGCAAGAAAACCTGTGACCAGTCATCCCTTGTTTTCCTCTAGTGTAATATGAAACATAATGATTTTTTTGCCCTGAATATGATTAGTTATTCTCCTTTTTCTCCTGCTTTTTGTTTGTGCCTACTATCAACTGCTATCATTAGACAGAGGCAAAAAGGAACACCTCACAAATCTCACCTTTTCTTGCCTTTCTGTAAAATTCTTAGGACACTAATTAATTTTGGACCTACTTATCCATCATGTTAAAACCCTTTACCACCTTCTTGATAGTTAAAGAGCTAAAATCACATTTTTGAATGAACCCCATCAACATAGTCTGGCTTGTTCTATTAACATACCAAGCTTTATGTTGAGAAATATATGGATGGAGCAATGTACTGTCTGTGGTTTCTCCTGATACAGGCTGATCTTTGCTCTGACCTACTGACTTCACCACAGGAGAAATTCTTGATCTCTTAAGAATAATCTCATTGGTAAATACCAATATCATCATGGCCTCTAAAACATTTGGAATTCAGATTTCAGGAGTTCCACTTCCCCCCTCCTCTCCCCTCCTCTCTCCCCCTCCTCTGCCCCCCCCCCCTCCTCCCTCCTCTTGACAAAAACTTCTGGCTGCAGGTACCTCTGAATAACAAATATTTACCTCAATAACAGTGTTATAGGAACTGAGAAGTTTCCAAGGATAGCTTGTAGATAAGGCGGAGTTCTCTCTCCACTACTAGAAAACACAATAAATACTGCAGCAAGTCCTTGAAAGAAACCAACTATTAAAAATACACGGCGATGATTCCAATCTGTCTTGTGGATTGAGTATTGCTTAAAAACAAAGATATTAATAACTAAGGCAGAACCAAACACAGTCACAAAAACAGATGAAGCAAAAGATAAAACGAAGAAGCTGTCTATTGTTGGTGTCCACTCAACAGTTTGGTTCTGGGATGAAGTCACATTCTTGGTACTGTCGATCCACATCGGCAGAGTGACATATTGCGTAACTTGACCGATGACGACCACAAATGCATACAAAAGAGTCGCTATACTGCTCAGTGACAACCAAGGTGTGTTCTTTCTATGCTGGTTCCGCAGATCGTTGCTGAGGAGATAAGTGCTTGGCTCTGTGGTAGTGTTTAGCAGAGGTTCATAGTCTCGGCGAGAACTGTTCATCGCATCGGAACAATCTTCGGTGTTCAGCGACATTTTAAGCCTGAAGCAGCGTGAAAATAAAAGGTTCAACCTTAAATGGATTCTGTTGCCGCAAAATTTTGATTTTAAAGAGCATAAAACGTGTTCTCGTTGCAAAAACAGAAACAAGGATAGTTCGATAACGATGGATTCAGTTCATGATAACAACAGTGCAGTTACATCAGACCACATAGGGAGAAAGTAGACCACGCGACTACTGGTGGTGGAATTGTTGTGAAAAATAGAATTACTAAATCCTTAAAAAAATTTTAAAAAATATTTTTCAATCATTGGGAAAATAAAAACAGAAAGAAAGCCTTTCATAAGAAAGCCAGGAGTCGATTCAAGCGAAGAAATCCCCACTTCATCCAAAACGTCCACGTGATCAATGGTGAAAACAGGCCAATTGATTTCCGGGGGGGTACGAAAGAAACTGTAGTACTGCGACGGTGGGAGAGTATAACAGGGGAATTTAGTATTATCAAATGAGTTGATAACGTAAATTGGACACCGTAAAGAGTTTAAAAGCTGACGATTCGAGCGTTAGCCCTTCCGAGTTTAAAAGCTGACGTTTCGAGCGTTTGCCCTTCGTCATTCGCTCAGACGAAGGGCTAGCGTTTGAAAATTCAGCTTTTAAACTCCTTACGGTGGCCAATTTACGTTTACTTATCAACTCAGTTGATGATACTAAATTGCTCTAATTTATTTCTGGGCCTGTCGAGAGGAAATCCATTGGGTGTTGCTAAAATTAATAACGAGGAATGGGGAACGGAGAAAGAAGAACGGAAAACGAAGAACATAGAACATAGGAAGGAGAACGAAGAACGGCACACGGGAGTCTGAGACCAAGAAGTGCAGCGGTAATCCGCATGAAAAAAAAATTAATTGGAGGATGACAATACAGTATAGAGGTCCGGGCACCAGTTTTCGAACTCAATCGCTAGAATAATCAGACTAAGAGGTAAATTAAGTTTTTTATTGAAGGAAACCAAATAGAGGTGTTAAAAGAGGTGTTGAAAAACTTTCTGAGAACGCTGAAAATCATTTACATTTTTTGCCAAAGGAGAGCCGCTGGTGCTACAAACCGAGTGTTCTCTCATTATAGACAGTTTGATGAGCTATATTACAGGCTTCTCTATCATTCCACTTTGAACTATTAAAATGAATTCGCTTGGCCTTCCTTAGAATCTCATCGCATATTCTTCTTATCTTTCAGTCCTTTCTGCATCCACTAGTGTTATTTCTTGTGCCCTTAAAAAGAAAAAGAAAAGAAATCAAAGGAAATAAGAGAACAAAAAGGGAAATCATTGTTCGTGTAAAATAGCAGTTTGTTAAAGACCTCCTTTTCAAAATATGGGCGCAAAATAAGGCTTTTGTCAGATTGTGGTTATTATCCTTCAAACATTTTATAAGGCGTGTTGCCGCTCAACGCCAAAGCACAGAGAAAAAGCCATACACACAGGTTACTCTTAAACTAATTCTCACCCCTTGAAGTAGATTACAGCAGCAGAAAACATAAACACCAGAGCAGCTATGCCAAGCTCTGCACTGAGCCAATGATCGGGTTTCTTCACTTGCCACTTGCGTGATACCTCACTGAACAGAGACCATACAATAAATCGCACTGGTATAGAAAGTGACTGGAGGAAAAACAACAAACCCGTCAGCAAAGTATTATTGGGATAATTAACGAGGGACGATGTAAATTTGGGGCGCATAGCTAAAGGATAAGGCTACAGTCATTTTTTAAAGGACAATTTTTTTATTAATTCATGTAGACTATGCCTTCATACCCCATATATACCTTTCCGCAGGTAAAAGTCGTGCAAATTGCAACAAGGCAAATATCTACTCCTTACAGACCAACTAAACAGTTTAATTGAATAGGGGTGGAGGCAATGACAGGCTTTCCATTTGATTGTTTTCGTCATTTCCTGATTTCGCGTGCTGAGAGTTTACTGGGTGTCTCTGTTAAGTAGAGTGTGCCAAAACTCGGCAAACGAAATGAAAATGTCATGATTACTAACTCGTAAGCGTTCGGCCGCTTAAAAAAATCGGCACAAATAGTTTCCAGCAGAAATTGTAGTGACAAAGAACCGCAAAAATTTAATCTCGCAAAGTGGCATCGCCAATACTAAAGGTAAAATTCCCGCAAAGATCCCATGCTACTGATAAACTGAACAGTGCTTCCCCATTGGAAAAGATTACTACACAGTCTGGAAAAGAGCTTGGACTATGAATAATGGCGTTAATTTCTAAAAAATTGCTAAGAATTTGAATTCATCGACTATTTCTTACCATTATGATAGCCAGCCAAGTGGCTCCCTCAGCGTGTCTCAGAAGATTAGCTCCTCCAACAAAGGATAAAACGTTCATGAAAATAAAAAGAGTCCCTTCAATGCCTGGTGTGGCATCACAGCCTGCTGCCCCGAAAAAACATTTAGCTCCACACCGCCATCTGAAAAATAGGGAGATGAAATGATTATCTGTGGACGCAGCTCTTGGTGATGAATCGATCTGATTGTTTTAGAGAGGGACGCAAGTTTCCAAGAGCAACTGCGGTGCAGAGTTAGGCCAGACCAATGCGGACCAAGTTAGATCTCCGCAAAGAGAAAAACTACGCTAGTATTCCCAAGCGATTATGTTGTAAACAAAATACGCAGAAAAACATCGCAAGAGTTTCGGAAAAACAGTTTTAAGGTAAACCTGGTACACGTACTTTTCTCCAAAGTCTTGAATTGAACAAGCATTCCCAAACCATGGGATGATATTCACCCAAAACATCAATCCAGTACAGACCAGCTGATAAAAGGATATCCAACAAAAAAAGTAAAACAAGTTGATTCCTCTTCGTGACATCTCGTTTTGTTTTTTCACTGCTTTTTCCTCCAGCACGTTCATGATGGCCGCTGGAACCTGACAATGGAAAGAAAATGGAAAATGAAAAAACTGCTGACTCGGTGAATTGGCAAACGCTTACAAGATGTTGGTATACTTGCTAGAAAAAGGCATATTGTAGAGAGTAACGCCTTAACATTTTTAAGCTAAAGTAGGAGCCAACGTCAACTATTATAATAAGTAAACAAGAAACAGACGAGCAGGTTTATGAAACAACACTACATATCTGACATACTGATTCCTATAATTTCCGTCAAATTAGGCTGTCGCTATGTTCCTAACATTCCTCTGTCCCTCTGTTCCTACTGTTCCTCTGGTCTACTCTGTCACTGACTTATTATTGCTTTGTCCCTGAATTCCTTTTGTCCCTATGTTCTTTTTTGTTCCTCTGTCCCTCCTTCCTAACCTACCGTTCCTTTCTTCCTCTTCCCTTTTTGTTACAGTTCCCGGACTAGCCACAATAGACCTAATTAGCTTGTATGTTTTGTTTACCCATTTCAGGTCACGTGATAATACTCTGGAGGACTGCTTCTTTCAAATTTCTTTCTATTTTTGGGCATACGTACGCGTCACTAAAAGCTAAAGCTCGTAATTCTCAGGTAAACAAAACATACAAGCTAGAAAGGGCTGTTGCGATCTCCAAATACTCTTCGCAGGTGAGTTAAACTTCTTTCGGTAAACCCCTTACTACTGAAAGAAATGTCTGGCGACTAAAACGAGAATATAATCATCAGATCTCGGATCGACTGACGCAGGTCACAAGACAGAGACATGACTTAAATGGGTTTGCATGTACGGACAGCAACGATACCGATAAAATAAAAATAAAAAGTACTTACAAAGCTTATTGCAAAAACCAAAGGCCATAACACTTTTGACTGGGTATCCTCTTTTGACGTTTGATCGAAATCCGCTTTTAGCGTCGGATAACTTATCAGTGGAATGAGTCCGAAAACCACAGGAACAATTGTGACAACCCCAGCGCACAGTAGTTTTCTACAAGTTGGCTTCTTTCTCAAAATCAGGCGCCTTAAAAAAATGATATGGACATTTGATTGTAGTGAGATTAGGTATCGCTCTTACGCAAGGCAGTCAACTTCAATTAGATCATGTACGCCGGCCATGCATTGCACTGCTAATTGTGAGGAGTAAAAGAAAAGAAAAAAAAAATGAAAGTGAACCATCATAAGACAAGGTTAAACAAAATGTAGTAATTTTTTGATGATGAGCATATTAAACCGATCCGCTAACAATGATAAAAAATAATGATTACAAAGATGCTGTGACAATGCCGCGTTATGTATAAATGAAGTAAGTTCCTGAAGAAACTGTGGTGTTGCGTCAGACGGGAGTATAACCAGATAATTTGGTTTTATCATCTGAGTTGATAATGTCGAAGGGCTAAGCTCGAACCGTCAGCTTTAAAACTCTTTACGGGGGCCAATTTACATTATCAACTGAGTTGCTCAAACCAAACCGCATCATGGTTCTCATGTAATCAAGGTCATGTCGCTATTCTTGTGCATCACGTGAAACATGTGACAAATCCCGCGACACAACTTTGCGTGACGCGTCTTTGCCACATTCACTAAGGGACTTGTGGGGTCATGATCGGTTACGAAAAAAAACAATTCGATTACTAGAAACGATCAACGAGTTCTACCAGAATTCGATAATCAAGAGTCGATTATCAAGATTCTTACTCCGCTTTTACTTGCTTGGTCCAAAGCAATGATTAGCTGATAATAACCCCTTGTAGCAGCAGTGGTTCGGAAGCATTTGACCCACCTGAATAGAACTGTTAAAGGGATCGTCAAAGTCCCTAGAATGATTTGGAGATATAACGGCGTTCTTGTTGTGCCAATAGCAAAAACTGCAAGTGCTTCGTTCAAAGCACTACAGAGCCCAATCAAAGATAAAGAAAATTGTGGAAAGCTTTTCTCATTCTCGCCAAGATGTCGGGGAAAAACGATTCGAATGAATAAAGCCCCCAATCCAAAGATCACGAAAGAAGATAGACTACCAAACGATAGTACAAAGTAACTGTCTATCACTTGGCACCTCTTTGTCGATTCTTTGGAGGAGCTGAGCCAATAAAGATGCAACGATATGTCTTGGCCAACATCACCGACTACCACAACAAATGCAAATAGGAGATTTATCCAAAGGAGATCGAATTCCCAAGATCCAATATTGAAAACTCTCCGCTCTTCGTAGGGAGGTGGAGGTGTAGGACAGAACGGTCGGTCATTGCTGCTCGTTGATTCCGTGAATTCAGACTCAAATTGATCTGCACTTTCCGTGGAGCCGTACATGACAGTCTCTTGATCCATCGATTGAAATCGAATCACGTCCGAGGCTATATCTTATGCGGATCTATTTCCTTCCGATTAAAAGCGGAAGTTTTCTTTCTCAAGGAATTTCCCAGTAACGTGTTGTTCAATTGTGGCTAATCACGAGTATTGTGATTTGGGAGCGTTTGACCATAATAATCATTACACTTAGATCTTCAGAATAGGTCTGGAAAAGGACGAAATAACTTCTGCAGATGTCATCGACATATTCTCGTCTGACGCTCATATAATTAGGTGCAACTGAAGCATGCGCACGGCACACTAGTTGGAGAGGCTAAATTTGACGCTGGACTTTGAAGTGCAAACTCTGAGTTTCTTCAGCTAAAGAACTCTTCGTTCCTTTATTTCCCCTAAAATATAATTTACCCCTTCTCTCCTTCGAAAAAATGCCTCATATTTTAACAGTAACTATAAAGGTTGTGCGGATAGAGAAAGGGAATATTCTATCGTTTTCGGTAACCAGAAATCAGGAGGCCGTGAAAAATAGAAGCTAAGAAAGTAACTTGGGAAAGCTAGCTAGATATCTAACGAAAGAAAGTCAAATTCTTTTCGAACAACTTATAATCTTGTGGGTTTTTTTCAAGCTTACAAAAACTCTTCTCTCTCATCTGTCAGCGCTGTCTTTGTTTCTAAAAGCAGAACTGACGTCATTGTTCCGGTTATTCTCTGAAAAAGAGAGATCCATTTAAAGAGGTTATATGCAAATCACGTGTAACGCAGTCCATCCGTGAATTCTGACATGGGAGTTCTGCATGTTTCAATTAACTCATTTAGTTATTACTTTATTCATAACGCCGAACGAAAGAAGGATTTACTGTCCATGATTCTCGTGTGCGTTCCACCTACCCTTGAAAGTATGTGAATAATTTTTAAGGTGTATTTGACGTGCCAAGAAACTGATAATACAACATCAATACGATTGTGCAGGGGAAAGTTTCAAGAACAACACATGCAGTTAGACATATACTATAAATTCTCCGTAACCTCTTTTTTAATCAATTGATCGTCATCTCATCTGCACCAAATTGTGGTCTGCTCGGGCAAAATTAATCGCTTTAAAATCATTGTTTTTTCAGTTTTTGATCAATTTTACTATCTCTGTGTGTTAAATTGGCCTTACTACTTTGGCGTTTAAAGAAAATCTTATAACGGTGTGTGAAGAAAGATTCATTCTCCAAACTAATTCCTACCCTGGAAAAATTTCTAGACATGCTATGTCTGCTATTAATCCAATATATTAACCCTTTTTCGGATAAACTGTATTGGGTGCTGTCTACAAGAAATCTTGAGAAACAGCCTCAAGGTTTTTGTCCCTTTGTCTTACATTTGCCATGATGAAGCGCGGGTCTAATGAATACAGTTTTTTTCATAAGTCCTTTAAGTGTAAGAGCTCGGAGGATGTCTGCCCTCTGGGACAAGAAATTGGGTTGATCCAAATGTTGACTGACACCGGTCAGTAGAATCGGGGTGATAAAACTTCTCACTGTGGTTCCCGTTCATCGAAATCTCTGGTGCACTAAAGTGAAAAATAAGAAGAAAGACGTTGTTAGAAACTCGTGAAAGGATTCCTTAATGTGCTAAATTATCAAACAAATCATCAATCAAGGACCAGGGGTTTTGGTTCCGCAAATATTTATGTCGTTACATGATGAGGGTAGGGGGACAGGGGGGGAAGGGACAGGCACAGGGGGGAAGGGACAGGCACAGGGGGGAGGGGGAGAAGAATCGAATTTAGTAGCCTACGTTTAAATAACTGACCTACGTCCATGACAAGGACTGCTTTGATTGCTTTTCATATCCGCTGCCCTCTGATAAACGCCGCGTTAAAAACACTAAAAATCCAGAGGACGACACAGCATTTTATTCCATAGATACGGTTGATATCTTTCCTTACCCCATGTTGTAAACAAAAATGGCGGGAACCATTATCGCTAACGCGCCGATACTGAACCAGGTGCTCACGTGACCTGCAGGGTGCCATTTGAATGGTGATTCGTCGAACAACGTCCAAAAAATGAATCCCAGCGGGGTGACGAGTGACTACAGGATATGTAAATAAAATTACGTCATCACCAGTGTTTACTTATGAAACGTTTTTCCTTACTGGCTACTTTTTAGCTTATCCATTATCTATCCACTATCGACTTAACTAATCCCTCCTATCCGCTATGAGAGTCTGCCTCTTGTACCACTCCCTGGAGTAGTGGTGTTGTATTTTATAAAATCAAGATCATAAGAGCAGACTTTTTAACTGAGTATTGTAAGTTATTTGGAAATGCGCTGGGTATGGCCTCATTTAACTCCGTGATAGCTCTGGATAGTCAGGTACATCTTCTCAACCCACCATATGTGAAACTCAAACCGGTGACAACATTTTCACTCGCATTAATATTCCGCGCTTCAAAAATGTGCTCGTTTTGACTTTGGGCTCTCACTTGTTCCTGGTAACTTTTATCATCGTTTTGTTTGGCTGTTTGTTTAATTGTTTTTATCTTACGGCACACAATCAAAGTATACTCGTGAATGCACCTGTTCTACAAATGTTGAGCATTTGATTTAATCTGCATGTCTAGCTAGACGAGAAAAATGCCTAGAGCATGAGTATCAAATAGTTCACTTACCGTGACAATAGCCAGCCAAGTGGCTCCCTCGGCGTGTCTCAGTAGATTGGCTCCACCAACATAGGATAAAACGTACATGAGAATAAATATAGTTCCTCTGGTCCCTGAAGTGGAGTCACAACCTGCGGCGCCAAAGAAGCATTGAACTCCAAACCACCAACTAGAAATAACACATAAATTCGGTTGAGTAAAAGGTTTTGCAATCGGTCTCTGGCTAGGTCAGCATTTTGAAGATGTGACAGGTCAAGACTTAACTCCCAAACTGCCACTCTCCACTCGAGAATATTTATTAATGGACACCGACAAACAATCTGAGCGAGTTATCGAGGGGCAACCCGAAAAGCACGAACTTTCCAACCACAAAGAGAGGCAGTTATTTTAGTCGCTTCAGAAACCGGGGTGAATCAGTAGATTTGCAAATAAGCCTGGCATAAAGTTTTATGATGTCAAATCTTGTTTCAGTTAAACAGCTATTAAGAAAAAAGAGAAAATTCAACGAAAACTCACTTTTCCCCAAACTCTTGGATATTGCTAACATTTCCATACCACGGCAGAATGTCCAACCAAAACAAAAGTCCCACACAGAGTAGCTGATAAGAAGACGTCCAAAATAGAAAATACAACAAGTTGATGCCTTTCTTTGAGGATTGACTTTCCATCTTCACTCCCTTTTCTTCGATCACGTTCATAACGGCTGCTGGAACCTAAAGAGTAAAACCAAATATATCAGCGAGACCCACTGACAACCAAGATCGGCCGAGAAATTCTCTTTTCTAGTCGTTACACATTTTCTTGTGAAACAGCCAAGAGAATTTGATGATAAGTTTGTGTATCTTCTTCACCTGGGCTGAATACCGCTTTTTAAAATTCGAGATGACGTTACATAATTAATTGTGGTCGACAAAGGAGTGAGGGGTATAGCACATACCATTTAAGTCAAATTATGATCTTGTTAAGCTAGCGAGAATCAAACCATTTCGCATTGCTCGCCTAGATAACAGAAAATTGAAATAGAGCTATTGCAATCCGACTTTTTTTGACGTTGAGTCCCACTTACGAAGCCAAGCATGAAAATTATGGGCCACATTACTCTGGAAACACCCTGAGCATTGTTTTTTCTTTTTTCGGCTTTGGGATCAACTTCGGGAAAAATTGTTGGGATGAGGCAAATGAAAAGACCAACAACCACGATGACACCACAGGACAACTTCAGCAGGGTGGGCTTCTTTCGAACAATCAGCAACCTTCAGGAGAAAAAAAATCAACAGCAGTGTTGATGAGTAATAGGGCGCGGGGGGGGGGGGTAGAGGGAGAGGGGGGTGAGGGGGAGGGGGTGGAGGGAGGGCGGAGGTGACATTCTACGCTAGCTGAGCATAAAGATGGAACTGCCAGCCTTATCTGCTCATGGGGGAGATCAGGTAAATTTTATTGTGACACAAGAAAAACTCCGAAACCTCAACCCAGGCTAATAACTGATGAGTGTTTCCTAAAGGGAGAATGATACTTCAGCAACCACATAATAGTTATCTTCTTTTTTGAAGAGAAAAAGAAGGAAGGGGTCATATTCTGATATTGCGAAACCTATTTTTGAAGTCCAAAATTCCCTGTTCAAATTGATTGCCAGGAGATAGTTCAAATAAAAGCTTCACATTAAATTTCTGTGGAAATAAGTCCTTGCGGTAGTTCCCTTCCAGCAAATTGTGCCTTGTTCGAAACAAATCAAACCAGTACCAGTTTTTTCGTGTCATCGCAAGGAATTAACAAAACGAAAAAAAGGTCACATAAGCTAGTACTGAAATGCAATACAAAGGAAAACTTGTCACTCCTACAACTCGATAATACTTTGATGATGCAACTGAAGATGGTAAATATTTGAAGCCTTCACATATGGACATTATTATCCTAGAAAAATGCAGTTTGTGACCACAGACCTATAAAGTCTCCTAAAAGTAAGTGGAAGAGCAACCGAAACCCCAATCGAGAGCTCTCGAAGTTTTTTTGTCCGAGTATGCCTGTGTCATTAGCTGGATTGCATCATCTTTCGCTTCAATTATGCTGTTGCACAATAGTGATTATCAGGTGTGCGTTACAGCCAACTGCATAGCGTTCTGTCTCCCTTTAATTTGGACAGGAAGCCATCAAACTCAATTACAGAACATTTACTCACCTGAATAAAATAGTCAAAGGGATCAGGAAGTTTCCAAGAATCGCTTGAAGGTATGGCGGTGTTCTTGACCCTTTACTCGCGAATACAACCAGAGCTCCGTTTAAAGCGTCACACAGGCCAACCAAAAAGAGCAGAAGGTGTGGAAAACGTTTTTCCGTTTCTCCGAGATGTTGAGGCGAAAAGATTTTAACGAACAACGTTCCCAGTCCAAATATTATGACAAACGACAAACTCGCAAAAGACAGCACAAAGTAACTATCGACTGATTTTCCCGAATGATTTCCATTTACGGAGTCGATCCAGAGTGGAAGCGACACATTCTGACCGACTTGGCCGGCTACGGCGACAAAAGCAAATAACAAGTTTGCCCAGAATAGACGAATTTCGCAAAATCCAACCTTAATCTTTTTCGATTTTCCATAAAGGGAGGCAGGGCGAGATGGCACGAAATCTTTGGATATGCTTGACACATCATCGTCTTCATACCCCTGAGGAGAGCTTCTGGTAAAATCCATTTTTGAACAACTGACAGGTGGTTGAAGGCGCAGTATTTACTAGAAAAGCTTTCCCACAGGTTTTAAGAGACGGTTTTATCTCTTGCCTACGGGGTAAGCTTCCATGTCGTCGGCTTTGGGAGAACGTTTGGATGTGAAACTAATTATTGCAGAACCCCTAACATACCAATATATGACGTCATTTTAACGAGCAATTGTGGTAAATAATTGGGGCTTGGGCACTGGTGTTTCATTTCAAATAACTTTACATAACCCATAGCTTGAGGCAATGAAAGTTATTAAGAGAGGATGTCAGCATCCATCGAACAAATTTGAAATATTGTGGCAAGTCGCCCAAAATTCGTTTTCTCTCCTTCTTTCATATTTTGTAGCCCAATGTGTCCTAATAATTGTGGTGTAGTTTTTTTGTGAAAACATATTTTATTTTTCGAGAAATTTTATTTTTCGTTCAGCCGCTCAAATATGCAAATTTTCACCCTGAATATTACCCAAGTTGTGTGACCTCATGTAACGAATTTACTTGACCTCCGGAATTTCTGTCGGCATAATCCTTTGTTTTATCATCTAAACTTAATCCCCTGTCATTATTGAAGCTGGAAAGAAACATTTATCTTTTGGTGAATATTTTTGTCCGACATACTTTTTCTATATCGAAAAGTAGCATCAAAACAAAGACAGTTTTAACAATGACCGATATTACAGAATCTACTGAGCTTCTAGCTTTTAAAAGACAAAAGGATGGTTATAAAGTTACTGTAAAAATTTCCTTATGTATTTGTGTTGTTATAAAGTCCGGCAAAATTTACTTTCTAGCGACTATGAAATATACATGGTGTGTCTACTTGTCGCCACCGTTTACTGGCATAAATCACTATAGTTTGTGAAGAAATCTAACATAACCTCTAACCTTATTTATTTATGATTTTATTAGCTGTTTCGGTGATCAAGTTATGCTCTACCATATTTTAGCCAGATTTAATTTACAGTTTGTGAACCTTCTCCACATTATTATATTAGTTGCATGACAAGCGTGACACATAAATTCAAAGATGAATCAACCTCCGAATTACCAAGAGATGGGTTTTTTTGCTCTCTTTTCATATTTATAAAAACCTTCCAAGAATTGCTTTATTCTGAAAACTAAAATGTCCAGACCCATCAATGATTCCTTTGCCGACGGAAGTCAGAGAATGTTTACAAAAGTCAATTCGATTGACAAGCTACACACCGTTTAACCGACTGATCTGTTGTATAAGCGTCTCATCTTACATGCTAATAAAGAGATTTGTTGTTCATTTAAATCGTTCGCTTGTAGGACTTTTGGGTATAAATATCGAGAAGACCGACGTTGCATATCTCAGGTCGTTCCCTTGCGTAGTTGTAAAAAAGAAATTTTAAGTTACCTGCGGAGATCCAAAAACTGAAGTTGACCTTATTTTTGTTTGACCTTATTTTGTCGCGAGCCGCATCTTCGAGAAGCCAAAAGATATCGATGATTTTACAATTTGCCCTACTCATAGATCAAATCTCGGTGCCGGTGTTGGGTGGATTCGTGGTTCCATTAGTAGATGTATAGTGCCTAAAGAAGTGTACGACCATGGTAAAGGTAGGGTTAAGTCGATTCCAAATGCCAAATGCCCCCCCCCCTCCCATCAAAAATGTAATGGTCCGTCCCTAAGGTACTTTTTACATTATTTTAAGATGGGTTTCGTTCCGGAACGAAATGAATTTCATACTGCCTTTACATGCAAGATAATTTAGCATGTAAAAACAAGTATTTACGTCCTTTTTTTATGCTTCCCTCGCTCCTAAAGAGGATTCATACAGATATGAGCGTCGTACTGCGTTTACTTTATACAGAAGGTCGTCCAGAATAAGTGTTTCGTTCTGGAATGAAAACCTCAATAAACTCTTTCAGAAATGACTCGTTTCGAATAATTTTACTCTGGTATCATGTGGCAACCGGGATGAACTCGTTCTTGAACAAAACTCATCATGTAGACTTCATGTACAAGGCCCCTAAGAGTTTTATTCCCAGAGCATCACGCTCTGCTCTCCTGCCAGAACACTATAAACGCTACGCTGCTACTGAAACAGCTTATTTTTTGCCCTTAAGTAACCCTGTAATACTGGGGTGTCTATGACAACTTATTAGCATCATCGGAATGTCTCTCGCTCGTAATTATATGTCGAAGGATAAAGACGTAAGAAAAAACAAGGATTTGTTGGGTTGATAAAGCCCTCTAATTCACAAGATTCGATTATGGCAAAGCATAAAAATATTTCGATTTCTGCAAAACAGGCAAGTGGCTTATTCGTTACCCTTGAGTAACCTTGCGTGTCTATAACAACTGAGCAGCAACATCATCTAAAAGTGTCTACTGAGCTGTCATTGTGCCAAAACGTGAGCAAAACAACCGCTGGCCTCTCAGAGCCCCTACACCGTAGACTAAATGTAGAACATTTTACCTCTCACCCACAGTACAAACATTCTGGTAGAATGAAATATTTTTAAATCCTATAAACCCTTTTTTTTTTACCCTCATTCTAATAACTCTACTGAAAATGCAACCCCATTGTGGTCGATACAGTTGTGACGCTGCTACTCCATCCGGCAGCACATCAGCAACACCCCCTCAGGGGGGAAAGCTGAGCACACCACACTTACTGGGAATTTCGCCCTGCACAGTTAATCAAAACTGACGATGAACAAAAGCAATTGAAAATCTGCATACATGGACAAGACAACAATGATATCTTTTCAAGGTTGTAGCTTTGCTTGCGCGTCACATGAAGAATCATGTGACACGTCACGCGACACAATAATATTGCGTGACGCTGTCTTCGCCACATCAACAGAGAAACTCACGGGGTCACTTACATAAAAAGACCAACCTACAAGAAACGATCAACAAATTCTATAAAGATTCCATGTCAACTTTTGCTTGCTTTAGTCCAAAGAAATAAATGGCTCGAATTTAGCTGGAATTGAGATCATAGTGGTGACTGACCTTTCTACAACCTGAGCAGGGTCATCATCAGAGTCAAGTGAAGAGTTATTGTCCGTCAGGTGATATAAGTCCGGCTCGAGGGAGGGGGGAGGAGATTTGGATCAATTTTTGCTGCATATATGCCTATCAGAAACTCTTCCCCATTATAGTCTATTCGGGTCAGTCAGACCACATCCTAAAGGCAAATTTGGGACAAAAGTTAATTTTCGGGGTCCGAACTTAGTCATTTCTGATCATGCGTCTACAATAAAGAGCCTTTTAGGTAGGTCATCATTGTACGCGAAAATCCTGGAATTAGGGGAGTTTAAAAAACAGGTTCCTATTTTCAAATCCTTACTCACCAGAATTTTCTGACTTCCGAAATCCCGAAAATTCCAATAACTCTGTTGCAAACGAAACCCAAGTTGTCAAAACGCAACCCCGTCCAGCAGAACATCTCCATCAGTAAAAAATTAGGCAGTACCCTCACCCCCCTTCCTCAGACAATGTTTCGCGTGACACAAAAGTACAGCCTTTGAACTTGAAAAGACTTTCTTTCAATCTTATTCATTCATGCAGTTTTTGGATTACTTTTGTTCATTGTTATGTTTTTTAACTGTGCAGTAACCTTGGCTTAAGAGCAGAACTACCCGTCGGCGTGGTGTGCTCAGATTTCCCCTCCCCCCCCCCCCCCATCCCTTTGTAATAGCTGTTCAGTTTGTCATTTGACCACCCTGTGACAGATTTACAAGCGACATACTATCTTCTCGGCAGTCTTGGTTGGTTTTGTCACGCAACAAATTCACTCCCACGATGGAAATGGGGCGTTGCGTGGTTTGGCCAGACAAAGGAAAGAAAAAAAAATAATGCAGGAAATTTCGCTTAAAAAAATGAATGGAAAAATTATGAGCATGAAAATTAGAGTTAAGGATTTCATCAAGCCAACCGAAATCATTTTGCTTTTCTTACGGCTTTGACATAAGATTAGCAAGACACATTTCGATGATGCTGACAAGTCGTTCTAGGCAACCCAGGGTTACTCAAGGGTAAAAAAACTAGTTTCTGGCAAAACATGCCATTCACATTTTTTGCTGTAGCAGGGCAGGTCGGTTATAACGTACCAATTGTGTGCTGAGTCGATTCCGTGAATGGAAATCATTTGGGAAAATCAGTCGACAGTTACTTTGTCCTGTCTTTAGTCGTTTGCGAGGTAATTGATTGTCAAAATATTTGGGCGGGGAACGTTGATCATTAAAACCTTTTCGCCTGTACACAGAAAAACGTTTTCCACACCTACTACTCTTCTTGGTTGGCTTATGTGAATTCTTGAACGGAGCTCTGGTTGTATTCGCGAGTAAAGGTAAAGAACACCTCCATACCTTCCAGCGATTCTTGGAAGGTCGTTCTGTTCGGTTCGTTTGTAATATTAATGTCGTGGATGAGTCGTTTGTATGGTGCCGGTAGTGGTTGACACCTGTTGAGGGGAGTCTGTTCCAAGTTAGTAAACCAGCTTTCCAGAGTCAGTCGTTGAAAGTAGTTGGTGCTGTGGATTAGGCATTACGCAGAGTCCCACTCAATAGTGTGGTTCGTAAGTCGGTGATGTTCAGCAATGTGATTGTTGACATCGCCTTTCCTCGTCGCTCATTTAGTGTTCAGTCAGTCTAGTTGTGAGGTTTCTGCCAGTCTCACCGATGTAGGAGGCATGGCAGTCGGAGCAATTGATCCTAGAAACTGCGCCCTGTCTGTTCCTCTGTTCGTCTTGGTCTTTGACGTTAGTCAGTAATTGACGTGGTGTGGTAATGGGTGTGTGAGCGACGTGGAGTTGAATGGTTGTAAGATGCACGAGATGTTCTCAGATATGCCCTTTATGTACGGTATAGTTGCTGTAGTCGTAGGAGTCGCGTTGTCGTTGGCTTCGGTAACATTAGTAGGTCGGTGAGTGTTTCGTCGGATGAAGTCTTTGTTGTAGTTGTTCTTTGAAAAAACACGGTCAATGTACTTGTTCTCGTCGGATAAACTGTCTGTCGCGTTGCATGCTAGTTGCGCTCGTCGCTTGAGAGTCCTGATAGTTGTGGCTTTGTGTGATGTCGGGTTGTAGGATGACTCGTCCAGTAATCTGTCGGTATGTGTCGGTTTCCTGTAGACTGTTGTCTGTAGTGAGTTGTCGTCACGGCTTACCAAGCAGTCTAGAAAAGGTAGTTTACCATTTTCTTCGACCTTTCTGGTAAACTGTATGTCAGTGTTTTGTCTGTTAACGTGGTGGTGGAATGCGTCGATTTCGTCGTGTCTTACGGCGGTGAATGTATCGTCAACGCAGCGTAACCAAAGCGGTATCGGTAGATCGTCGGATTTCAGTTTTAGTACATTGTAATGCCAGTTGAAGTTTGTCACCAAGGACCTAAGGACTACTTGAAGCCCAGTGGCAGAGCATCCGAAGTGCTAATCGAAGGGTCGTAATATTGGCAGCACTCTGACTTCTTATATCCGAGTATGCCTGTGTTATTAGCTAAATAACATCTTATACTGTTTTGAATCCACTCACCTGAATAGAATAGTCCAAGGAATCAGGAAATTTCCAAGAATAGCTTGAAGGTATGGCGGTGTTCTTGACCCTTTACTAGCGAATACAACCAGAGCTCCACTCAAAGCGTGACAGAAGCCAATGAAGAAGAGCAGAAGGTGTGGAAAACGTTTTTCCGTTTCGCCGAGAGCTTGAGGCGAAAAGATTTTAATGAACAACGTTCCCAGTCCAAATATTATGACAAACGACAAACTCGCAAAAGACAGCACAAAGTAACTGTCGACTGATTTGCCCGAATGATTTCCATTTACGGAGTCGATCCAGAGCGGAAGGGAAACGTTTTCTACGACTTTGCCGGCTATGGCGACAAAAGCGAATAACAAGTTTGCCCAGTACAGACGAATTTCGCAGAATCCAATCTTAACCACATCTCGTTTTCGATAAAGTGAGGTTGGGCGAGATGAATCGAAATGTTTGGAAATGCTTGACATATCACTATCTTCATAAATCGGATAAGAAATACTGGAAGAATTCATTTTTGAAGAACCGGCTGGTGATTATTCAAAGCGCATTATTCTCCAGAGAAACCCTCTCACTGATTTTGAGAGAAGGTTTTTTACTCTTCTCTGCCGGATAAGATCTCGGCCTCGGGAAAATACTTGAATATGACATTATACGGTTGCAAGGTCGCAATATGTTAAGTAAATTGTGTCATGATCTTAAAAATCCTGGGCTCTTCATAGAATGTTCAGCAATAATGTGAAACAAATAAAGTTTATCCCTTTTCGGCTTTATCCACGTCGCAAAGATCAATTTGCACAAAATTGTCGCATCACTGTTGAACTCACAAGAAACAAATTTGGCAAAATATAAAAGTACGTCTTATTCTTAAAACAGAGACAAGGCTAGTTTGAGATTTGAGTAACCCTGGGTGTCTATGACAACTTATCATCAACATCTAAATGTCTTTTGCTGGCTGGATTTGTCTAAGGATAAAGCCGTAAGAAACACGAAAGGATATGTTGGGTTGATAAAATCCTGTAATTCACAAGATGCCATTTCGCCGGGCAAAGCTTAAAAATACGTCTATTTTTGTCACAACAGGCACGTAGCTCAACTCAGCAGCAGCATCCAAAGTGTCTAGTGATCTAAAGGACTTGTTCGTTGATGAAGTCCTTAAATGTATTCATGCATAGTCACATTCTTTCAATGCACTTTTCTCCAACGAAATCTCCTGCATCGTTTTTCTATAGATAATCTTGTTGTTTTTCTTAAGGCTTGATCCCAAGATAGATAACTAGAAAGAGACATTTCGTTGATGCTAATAAGTTGTCAAAGAAACACGGGGTTATTTAAGGGTAACAAATCAGCTTTGTCTTTCTTTTAGGAATAAAAACATGTCTTTATGTTTTGCCATAATGGTGTCTATGTGAATTAGAGTAGGGATGAAGGAAATTTTTGGAATCCAGGCTTCATGACGTTGATAAAGCCGAAAAGGAATAAGCCTTTGTTTATTTGTTTGTTCCATAGTATTATTCAACATGTGAAGAACCTGGGATTTTTATACTTCTTTCATTTGCTTCATTTGGCAAATAAATTAGGAACGACGTCTCTGTATCTGGAATATTTTAACTTTCAAGTATATTCAAGTACATCCTGTCTCCTACGATTAATATTTGGTCAACTGTAGCAGTATCGCAGTGCCACACTGGACATGATTGTGCACACAACGGCGCTGATAGAATAAAAAGGCTAACATGTGTGCAACTGCAAATGTCGCCATGTAAGGATTAAGATGACCAAAAATTACTGTAAGTAGGAATGGAATAGATAAAAAAAGAAAAAAAAAGGAAACCGATGATGTGGCATCAATAAAATTGTTCACGCTGGCCTTAAAAGGCAAACTGCTTTAATTTCTTTTAATTTTTCAAGAACCACACAAGAATTTACACCAATACTGTTAAATTACACATACAATTTTTTTCAATCGATCGCAAACTCATCCACACCAGTTTTTTTCGTATTTGCTTATGCACTTTATAATCATATTTTTTTGTCAGCGTTTTTTGAAATATACTTTATCTGTCTGTTAACCTAGCATGGGTCAGCGTTTTTTGAAATATACTTTATCTGTCTGTTAACCTAGCCATACTGCTTTGATATCATGTAGAAGCTAATCTGAAATTAGTGTGGAGAAATCCACACTTTAAGTAACAAATTGTGCTGTGGATCTCTTTCTAAACATGCGATAAAATCAGATCTTGTCCCCTTTTTTCGGACGAACTGTTAGCACTTTGCAAATGAATGCTGTTTACAAGCATCCTTGAAACACAGTTTCTGGTCTAACTGCAACTGCTTTTAAGTCTTTCAAAGTCTGCTTTCCGTGCTGCAGAGAAGAGATTGCTCTGGTTCTAGCGCTGAGTTATACTCCCCACTTTGATTTTTATTTGTGTCTAGCGAAATCTCTGGTGCCCTGCGATAAAGAGGAGAAGTAAACGCCATCGTGAGAAACCGGTCGGTTTTCGCTCGTCTCATAATATGTTTTGAAGGAGAGGGGCAAGGGGGGAGGGGGAGGGGGAGGGGGAGGGGGGGGGGAGGGGGAGGGGGAGGGGGGTTGGTGGGCATTGATAACACAACACTAATAATTGAGTAAACGCCGCGGCATTTCAACAGATGAATACGGTTGACATTTTTCCTTACCCCATGTTGTAAACAAAAATGGCGGGAACCATGATGGCTAACGCACCGATACTGAACCAAGTGCTCACGTGACTTGCGGGGTGCCATTTGAATGGTGTTTCGTTGAACAATGTCCAGAAAATGAAGCCCAGTGGCGTGACCAGTGACTACAGGATATGAAGATAAAATGATTTCATCATCAATGGCTACATATCAACAATAGATTTCTTCTCATCACCTTTCATGTTCTCAGTTCCAAGGTTACCCATTTAACTATTTCCTATACGCCTAACTAACTTCACTCCCCGTAGAAGTGGTACCGTACTTCACAAACCACACGTTGATAGAGGAGACTTTGACTGGGTTTAAACATTAAACCAAGATTACACTGGTATGTGTTTTATATCAACCTGTGGACTGGAAAACAGGCGCCACACTCTCAATCAATCAGATATGAAATTTAAACCAAGAGGAAATGTTGGACAGTGTCCCATTACCGACACTGATGGCGACCTTTTCAATTGCATTTTTCTGCACTTCAAACGGTTAGCTTGTTTTTACTTTGGTTCATTTGCTAGTGGTGCATTTATCTTTTCTCTAATATTCTTTAAAGACCGATCAACGATAAATAGTTTAATTGATCCCCCTATAAAGCTTTGTAATATTCTCCCCTCAGTGCAAGTTAATTGCCAGTCAATGTTCTCCCCCCTCTAAACAATGTTGGCGACGACTGATTCCCTTGCGTTCCCACATGGAAACCACGTGAAATAGTCCTCCTACTTACCACCCGGCTAACAATTAAAATGTGCTTGAATACGCCTATTCCACGATTGAGCGCCAAGGTAAAGATAAAAATGATGCCTAGATTATCGGCGTGTCTCGGTAGATTGGCTCCACCAACATAAGTTTAATTTGTCTAATTGTTTTTATCTAACGGCACGCAATCAAAGTATACTCGTATTCGAATGCAACTGTTCCACAATCGTGGAGAATTAAATTTAATCTGAGTGTCTAGCTGAAAGAAAAAAATTCCTAGAGTATGAGTATCAAATCGTTCACTTACCGTGACAATAGCCAGCCAAGTGGCTCCCTCGGCGTGTCTCAGTAGATTGGCTCCACCAACAAAGGATAAAACGTGCATGAGAATACATATAGTTCCTCTGGTACCTGAAGTGGAGTCACAACCTGCGGCGCCAAAGAAGCATTGAACTCCAAACCACCAACTAGAAATCAGACATAATTCGGTTGAGCAAAAAGTTTTGCAATCGGTCTCTGGCTAGGTCAGCATTCTAAACTCCCAAACTGCCTCTCTCCGCCCAAGAATATTAAAAAATGAATACCGACAAACAATCTGGGCAAGTTATCGAGGGGCAACCCGAAAAGTACGAGCTTTCCAACCAGAAAGAGATGCAGTTATTATAGTCGCTTTAGAAACCGTGATGAATCAGTAGATTTGCAAATAAGCCTGGCATAGAGTTTTGCGATGTCAAATCTTGTTTCAGTTAAACAGCTATTTAGAAAAAAGAGAGAATTCAACGAAAACTCACTTTTCCCCAAACTCTTGGATATTGCTAACATTTCCATACCACGGCAGAATGTCCAACCAAAACAAAAGTCCGACACAGAGCAGCTGATATGAAGACATCCAAAATAGAAAATACAACAAGTTGATGCCTTTCTTTGAGGATTGACTTTCCATCTTCACTCCCTTTTCTTCGATCACGTTCATAACGGCTGCTGGAACCTAAAGAGTAAAATAAAAAAAATCAGCAAGACCCATTAACAACCAAGATCGGCCAAGAAATTCTCTTTTCTAGTTGTTACACATTTTCTTGTGTTACAGCTGAGAGAATTTAATGATAAGTTTATGTGTATTCATCACCTGGTTGGAATACCGCTTTTTAAAATTCAAGATAACTTTTCATAGTTGTGGCAGACAAAGGAGTGTCGCACATACCATTTAAGTCAAATTATGATCTTGTTAAGCTAGTGAGAATCAAACCATTTCGCATTGCTCACCTAGATAAGAGAAAATTGAAATAGTACTATGACAATTCTGACTATTTTTGACGTTGAGTCTTACTTACGAAGCCAAGCATGAAAATTATGGGCCACATTACTCTGGAAACACCCTGAGCATTGTTTTTCGTTTTCTCGGCTTTGGGATCAACTTTGGGAAAAATTGTTGGGATGAGGCAAATAAAAAGACCAACAACCACGATGACACCACAGGACAACTTCAGCAGGGTGGGCTTCTTTCGAACGATCAGCAACCTTCGGGAGAAAAAAAAACCAACAGCAGTGTTGATGAGTAATCTCGTACCCAGATCTGATTGGGACTAGGAGGGAATAGAATGGTTTTCACAAGGAACGGAGGAGGAGGGAAGAAGGGGGGATGGAGCAAGGGCGGGGGGGGGGGGGGAGGGAGGAGGGTGGAGAGAGGGCGGGGCTGGAGGGAGGGCGTGTGGGTGGAGGGAGGGTGAGAAGGCAGATTTCTGCGCGCAATTCTGAAATGATCGTGAGATGTCACGGTAAGAACTGAAAATTAACGTAATGTGCTAGTAGAAATTATTAAAGGAGAGAAGTGCGTAGTTTCGCTGAGTATTTTTACGAGTTGAGACGTATTTTGACGATCCCGCAAGTCAGCATATGGGAACATGATGACTTATTTCCATGTTGATCTGCTGGCATACAGAAAGAACTTTTTGAAAGAAAGAACTAATGAAAGTGTCATACGAAGTAGTATCCAAACATTCCTATCCTACTGAGCAATATGCAGTTTGTCACCAAGGACCTAAGGACTACTTGAAGCTCAGTGACAGAGCATCCGAAGTGCTAATCGGAGTGTCGTAGTATGAGCAACTCTCCAACTTCTTATATCCGAGTATGCCTGTGTTATTTGCTGAATAACATCTTATGCTGTTTAGAATCCACTCACCTGAATAGAATAGTCCAAGGGATCATAAAGTTTCCAAGAATCGCTTGAAGGTATGGCGGTGTTCTTGACCCTTTGCTTGCGAATACAACCAGAGCTCCACTCAAAGCGTGACAGAAGCCAACTGAGAAGAGCAGAAGGTGTGGAAAACGTTTTTCCGTTTCGCCGAGAGCTTGAGGCGAAAAAATTTTAATAAACAACATTCCCAGTCCAAATATTATGACAAAAGACAAACTCGTAAAAGACAGCACAAAGTAACTGTCGACTGACTTTCCCGGACGATTTCCATTTACGGAGTCGATCCAGAGCGGAAGGGAAACCTTCTCTACAACTTTGCCGGCTATGGCGACAAAAGCGAATAACAAATTTGCCCAGTACAGACGAATTTCGCAGAATCCAATCTTAACCACATTTCGTTTTCGATAAAGTGAGTTTGGACAAGATGAATCGAAATATTTGGAAATGCTTGACATATCACTATCTTCCAAAATCGGATAAGAAATACTGGAAGAACTCATTCAGGTGATTATTCAAAGCGCATTATTCTCCAGGAAAACTCTCTCACTGATTTTGAGAGAAATGGTTTTTACTCTTCTCTGCCGGATAAAATATCGGCCTCGGGAAAATATTCTACGGTTGCAAGATTGCAATATGTTAAGTAAGTTGCGTCATGATCTTAAAACTCCTGGGCTCTTCATAGAATGTTCAGTAATAAGGTGGAACAAATGAAGTTTATCCCTTTTCGGCTTTATCTACGTCACAAAGATCAACTTGCACAAAATTGTCGCATCACTGTTGAACTCACAAGAAACAAATTTGGCAAAATATAAAAGTACGTCTTATTCCCAAAACAGAGACAAGGCTCATTTGAGATTTGAGTGAGCCTGGGTGTCTATGACAACTTATCAGCAGCATCTAAATGTCTTTTGCTGACCGGATTTGTCTAAGGATGAAGCCGTAAGAAACACAAGATGCCATTTCACCGGGAAAAGCTTAAAAATACGTCTATTTTTGTCAAAACAGGCACCTGGCTCAACTCACCAGCAGCATCCAAAGCGTCTAGTGATCTAAAGGACTTGTTCGTTGATGAAGTCCTTAAATGTATTGATGGTCATATTCTTTCCATGCACTTTTTTTCAACGAAATCTTCGGCATTATTTTTCTAAAGGAAATCCTTTTGTTTTTCTTACGGCTTGATCCTATGTCAGATATAATAATGATAAGACATTTCGATGATGCTGATAAGTTGTCAAAGACACACGGGGTTATTTAAGGGTAACAAATCAGTTTTGTCTTTCTGTTAGGAATAAATCATGTTTTTCTGTTTTGCCATAATGATATGTATATGAATAAGAGCAAAGATGAAGGAAATTTGCGGAATCCAGGCTTCATGACGTTGATAAAGCCAAAAATGAACAAACATTTGTTAATTTGTTTATACTATTGAAAATACTATTAAATTGCACATACAATTTTTTTTCAATCGATCGCAAACTCATCCGCACCAGCTCTTTCAGTCGTATTTGCTTATGCACTTTATAATCATATTTTTGTTCAGCTTTTTTTTAAATTTACTTTATCTGCTTGTTAACCTAGCCTTACTGCTTTGATGTCATGTAAAACATGCTATAAAATCAGATCTTGTCCTTTTATTTCGGATGAACTGTAGTCACTTTGCAAATGGATGCTGTCCACGCGTATCCTTGAAACACAACATCTTAGTTTTGGCCTCTTCCTCTACAAGTGTAATGATAAAACGCAAGTCTAACTGCTACTGCTTTTAAGTCTCTTAAACGTTATAGTTCGGTGGATGTCTGCTTTCTGTACTCGAGAGAAGAGGTTGCCCTGGTCCTAGTGCTGAGTTATACTCCTCACTTTGATTTTTATTCGTGTCCAGCGAAATCTCTGGTGCCCTGCGATGAAGAGGAGAAGTAAACGCCATCGTGAGAAACCGTTCGGTTTTCACTCATCTCATAATATGTTTAGAAGGAGAGGGGCAAGGGGGGAGGGGGGAGGGGGAAGGGGGGAGGGGAAGGGGGGGTTGGTGGGCATTGATAACACAACACTCATAATTAAGTAAACGCCGCGGCATTTCAACAGATGAATACGGTTGACATTTTTCCTTACCCCATGTTGTAAACAAAAATGGCAGGAACCATGATGGCTAACGCACCGATACTGAACCAAGTGCTCACGTGACCTGCGGGGTGCCATTTGAATGGTGTTTCGTTGAACAATGTCCAGAAAATGAAGCCCAGTGGCGTGACCAGTGACTACAGGATATGAAGATAAAATGATTTCATCATCAATGTTTACATATCAAAAATATATTTCTATATATCACCTTTCATGCTCTTTCCAAGGTTACCCATTTAACTATCCCCTATACGCCTAACTAAGCCCTCCATCCACTATGCTATTGATGCCCCTAACTTCACTCCCGTCAGAAGTGGTATGGTATGGTACCCACCACCCGGTTAACAACCAAAATGTGCTCGAATACACCTGTTCCACAACTGAGCACCAAGGTAAAGATAAAAATGATGCTTCAAATTTTTCGCTTACCGATACAATAGCCAGCCAAGTGGCTCCCTCGGCGTGTCTCAGTAGATTGGCGCCTCCAGCATAGGATAAAACGTACATGATAATGAAAATAGTTCCTCTGATGCCTGACGTGGAGTCACAACCTGCTGCGCCAAAGAAGCATTGAACTCCAAACCACCAACTAGAACGTTAGAGATAAACTTCGTTGAATGGCACCTACAAGCAAAAAACGTGCCCTAACCCCAATCCCCTCACCCTACCACCCTTCCCTACACTTACAGACCCGGAGGGACAGACGGCTTTAACAACAATATGCTCGAGCTTCACTTAGGATATGGTCGAAATTTTTTTTCATGTCAAACTAAGCATCACTATTTTAACTATAGTTTCGAAGAAAAGTTTTGGTAAAATATTGAAACGCGCGCGAATAATTTACAAAAACGTATTTTCGAGGTGAATTCTTTAGCTCACCGAAGTGTGAGAATCGCGTAAATATCTCTTGATTTCGGTTGCATGTGGAGATCTTTGCTATTCGCCTGCGTTTAAAACTAGAATGTGAATGGAGAAAGATAGAAAGGAGAAGAGTCCATGAGTGAAAATAAAAGGAAGCCTGGCTGTCAGCACAAGAAGTAAAGAAATTAGACCCGCAATGGCGCAAAAATCTCACCGAAACGGATAAAGACTCGTGGTTAAGGCAATCTTCGCTGCTCGCATTCGATCGGCAACCTTTAAGTTCTGCCGCGTCGCGCTTAAGGTGCTTTTAAGTTGAAAAAAAAGTTGAGATAAAAAATGAAGTTCGGCAGAATAGAAACAAAGGTCTGAAGTTACTCGCGAAATATGTTTTTACTAAGAGTCTCCTGAGACCCAGGACGCTTCTGTGTTTCTATTGGCGGTCGGCATGTGGAGTTTTTCAGAGTGTTGACATCACTTGACATGTGGTCAACTAAAGGCGTGACTTGTTGGTTAAACTTTGGAAGTGGAAAAAACCTACTTCGTTCTTAGGCGAATGTGCCTTCTTTGAAGGAATTGATAGGGTATATATACTAAACGGATTGCCTTGAAATTTGGACCGAAGACTTCCAAGATACCAACTTAAACAAGAAAGTGGCGAAACTCCGTTTTTCCAAAATGGATCTTCCGCAATGGCCTCCGACGTAAAGCATATCGGAAAAATTTTGATTTGAAAACTCGACAGATAAATTGCAAATCAACCAAGATGAACATGGCAAATCCCCTCACGGATTTGAAGACCAACCCTTCAGGATTATTGACAATGTGCAGAAGTTTTATTTGTGCGGTCAGATTTGATTTGCAACTAATTTGCTCAAAAAAACATTTTCGGTTTACGATTAGATCACGCTAAAAAAGGAAATAATCTTTGCCCAATAGTGCATTTCATAGCCTCTCCGATGATATATAGTTTATGGTGGTTATGCTTCAAATAGCGCGTTTTTTTAAGTTTTTTTTTTATTTTGCGAAGGGCACCCGCGAAGGTCTACCTTATCCCTAAGTTATAGTCAGGAGGTTGTATGCCTCTATCTACTCAATGTTTGGGAAACAGACTGTTATGTCGTGCAGGAGACTAAACCTGGCAGAAATTGACGGTAGGAAATTGAATTTATACGTCAGTAATGATACTTGATTCCTCAACTGATTGAGGAGACGGAATGAATAAATGGCCAGTGTACTGTACTGTGCTGGATGGTTTAACGGGTTATTGTGTAGTTGTGATAGGTCAAGACATTTTACTCTCAAGTGCCTCTTTCCTCTTAGGAATTTAGATGGATACAGGCTCCGGCAGCAACCTGCGCAACTGTGCGAGGGAGTAACCCGAAATAAGCATTAGTCCCTTCAGACTCGGAATGAATCTCTAAAGCTTTGCAAATAGATCTAGCGTTCAGATTTGTGTTACCAAATCTTGTGTTAGCTATGAATCATTTGGAGAAACAAGACACGAAACTCACTTTTCCCCAAACTCTTGGATATTGCCAACATTTCCATACCACGGCAGAATGTCCAACCAAAACAAAAGTCCCACGCACAGCAGCTGATATGAAGACGTCCAAAATAGAAAATACATCAAGTTGATGCATTTCTTTGATGATTTACTTTCCATCTTCACTCCCTTCTCTTCGATCACGTTCATGACGGCTAAAGGAGCCTAAAGAATCAAAGCAAACTAATCGGCCATGTAACAGGGAGATTGGCTCAGTAAGTGACATTGAATAGTTTCTCGCTAAATTCGGTTAGCTTTATGGTTCATTGCTTTTATGAATTGGTGGAGAGATTGGTAGATGACTTTGTTTACATGAACTCCTGCCGTTTGCGAGAAATTAAAAAAGAAAAAAAAACATCAAGACGTAATCCAGCCAAACTACAGTAAGTCAAGTATTTAAAAATTTCGATAATGAGCGGTTGCAGTTTTTAAAAACTAATTAATAGGGAGTTTTAGATCCACGTTTGTTTCTGAACACGTGTGAACCGAAAGCTTCTAGGAGTCACGTGACCAGACTCCAGCGGTCACGTTCGCCGTCCACGTTTGAACTTCGGGCAAGGCAGTTTCTGGCACTTCAACTCCCACGATGCTTGTTTTCTTTCTGTTGAAGAGTTCTCACGTATTTCCTATAAATACATGTGAACAGAAGTCTTTCTTCATAACCAATCTGTTTGGGACGCTAGGAAACCAATCTTTTATTCTCATTTTGTGTTTGAAATGAAGGACCTCCATCCTTTCTGCAATTCAAGATGGCGGCGCACACTGTATTAATTTTTCTTTTAGGTGAAAGCCGACGTCGATCTAAAAAGCCGAAAGTCTCGAAACTTCTAATTACTTACCGCGGTTTGACGTTAGCGGTGAACACAACAAACGTGGATCTAGGGCCGGTTTACATGGATGCAGGGGACCTCAGGTAGGTGAAGTAACCCGCCTAGCCTTGGTCGAAAAATAGCCCGCGTTTACATACAATTTTGCAACCCCGGGATGCTGAGGTGAAGTTTCTAACGGTTATTGTCACGCTTGCAATCAGGGAAGTAAGATGCCACTGCGACGACTTGTGGTAAAACGTTGCAAAAAAAGTTAATTTATTTTCTTCTTAGATTTTCACCGTTTCTGACGGTACAACATTTGAATGTAGTGTGAAGTTCGAAGTAAAAACGTGACTTAATCGCTGTCGAGGTTTCATTGCTAAGAGGAAGTAAAAATTGGTGTTTTAACGTTTTAGCTTTGCATAAGACGGCTAGGAATGTACAAAGTTTTAACGCACTCGTCGTCTTTCGCTACTGTTTTGCTCATTTGATCTTATTGTAACATGAACGCCACCCCAGCCAGGCGGGTTATCCCACCTTGAGGCGTTTACATGGCAAATCGTCACCCTGGCTGACAGAGTTACCCTACCCAGCACCTATCATGTAAACGTGATCACGATAAAATAAGAGATTGTATGGACAGGCGGGTAACCCCGCCCAAGCGGGTTACCTTACCCACGTGGGGTCCCCTACCTCGATGTAAACAAGCCCCTAAAACGTTGCCGAAGAAACGTAATTTTTAAACTTGAATACCGGAAACAGCAGCGACAGATGATATATATGAAATCATTAACCGAGTTATCATGGGAGGCATAAATAAGAACAACTTCCCAGCGTGGCTATTCTTCGCTATTCGCCATCCTTCGTCACTATTCGCCTTTATTCGTCACCATTCGCCACTATTCGCCACTATTCGCCACTATTCGCCACTATTCGTCACTATTCGACACTATTGCCACTATTCGTCACATTTCGTATTCGGTCGTTATTCGCACGGCACAAAAACCTTCGTTTGGGTTTATCACTAGCCCAGAAATACAGTGAAACTTCTATTAAGCAGACAACAGGTAGGCCAAGCTCTAGTTATCCATTTTTCGGTTTCCTATTCCACAGGGGGACAACTTGCTAAAATGGCCTCGTTGCAGCAAAGTAAGAGGTCACAAAACAAGCGATGCACTGTGGAAGTAAGGTGAGGTATTTTTATTGAGAATTTGACTGCATTTTTACATCCTAAGAGCGGTCGTAAATATTCACATACAAACTCTTACATTTTCGTCATGACTCTTTTTTCACAAGTTTATCAACTCACAGCTGGAGCTTGGATTACCTGTGAGCTAGGTTCCGAAATTAACGTCTTATGTTTCCCTTTATTACAAACCTCAATTTAACGGACGTCTCTATCAAGTATTTGGCTAAGTAATTTCTGATGTAAAAAACCTTAATTAAGCAGATACCGGACTGACAATTGACAATGTAGTGTATGGGATTACGTCCTTGTAATTTGAACAGGCACGCTGAAAGAGTCTATGTACCGCGCGTATGATCGTTGCTGTTTTGCTCTTGTTTTTGCATTATTACTAACAAATTAAAGTTGGTCATGAAAAGTAATGAATTTGAACTCTGGATAGCTTTGTTAATAACACAGAACTTTTTCACAGAAAAGAGTTCCCGTTGAATTTTATTCGTTCACATGTATTGCGCAATTTTCACAAGACACTTGGGAAGGTCCCGAGCGTGTACTTAAAAACATTATTAAGGGTCACGTGAATTAGTTCTCTCGGTTTACAATCTCTTGCAAGGTGGTTTTACCCTCCTTTCGCTGCACCTTTATAAAAAAAAACACCTTTGAAGAACTCAGAAACAAAGAGAAAACGAGCGGAAGTAAACTCAATTGGAAAGAAAAGTGCTTCTAAGTCATAAATCGGCTAAAAACATATTCCCCTCGATCGATGGATATGGACGCTAAATAGTTTTTAAGGCGGCGCAGCGATTCTATAAAATTCTTGTCTTCAAGTCGAAAATTAATGATCCGTTTGGCTGCCATTTGGCTATATTTTATACATATTTGGCAGCTGATCTACCATGGTTTGTGGTATTACATATTGCACTGGAATCGACCTTTGCTTTTTTTTCACGCAGGCACCTTGTGCTATTTTGCTCCATTGTCGCGCGGTTAAATTTAATCACTTGCTTGGGCACAAGTTGAATTTTCAGCATCAATTGTGTAGTCCTTCTCCGATATTTTAAGAATGTTTGGTCGCTAATTCATCAGTAATTCTCCTTACTATTTGCTATACAATTCTCATGATGTTAGCTTGGAGAATTTGGTATTTGAACAAATGAAAATTCCCAAATCGTTTTTTTTTTTCATTCTCGTTACTTGTCTGGTTGACATTGCATTGACACTGTAAGGAAAAATTATCTCGTGGTCATTCATGCGAGTTAAAGGGTTAATTGAAGTATTGAGAACACCATAAGGTAGCTCCAAGGTCCTTTGATAAGGCACACAATTTTAGCTAGATTTCTCAAAAGAAACGCACTCCCAAAAATTGACTTGGACTTGAATGCTAGTTGGGTACCGGATCAGACCCTCTATTCTAATAACACACAAACTAAATTCGTGTGGAATTATCGGAAGAAAATCTTTAATATTGCCTTAGTGTGCGTTGGGATTGGTTTAAACCAGTTTTAAAATTTTTGATCCAGATTAACTAACAAGAAATTAAGCCATTTGGCTTTGCCCGCTTGGGTTAATCAAACCTAAAATAGCGTTCGGTGAAATTTCGATTTCTTTGACATAACGTTGTACTTACGAAACCAAGCATGAAAATCATCGGCCACATTACTCTGGAAACACCCTGAGCATCGTTTTTTCTTTTCTCGGATTTGGGATCAACATCGGGAAAAATTGTTGGGATGAGGCAAATGAAAAGACCAACAACCACGATGACACCACAGGACAACTTCAGCAGGGTGGGCTTCTTGCGCAAAATCAGCATCCTTGGAAGAAAAAAATTCACAGCAGTGATGTTGAGTCGTTTCGTGAACAATGAAGAACACGCTAATAAAGTTATATCTCCATTATTAGAATGTAAATAACAGCAAAGAAGCTGCTAGTGTGTTTTTTGTAGGAACCCATCGTTACGAACAGGCACGTTCATTTTTAATCAATTTCGTCATGTAACCTTTAGTCATGCGTTTGCGGTATCATTTGTACAGGACACACTTTGATTTTGTGGCTTGATTTTGATTCATCTGTTTTATGTCAAATTACTTGTAATAGTTTCGGACGCTTCGAGACCATGACATATAATAAACAAGTTTCAATCGAGGATACAAGTTATTCTTTTCTTTACGACTTTATGACACCCATCATGTCAGTGAAGAAAGTTATTTTAGGCTGATTGCAAAGTCACATGAATTGATGTGGAAACAAATGTTTGCGGGAATTCCTTCTAAGAACTTGTCCCTTATGATAAAATTCTTGCCGCCGGAAACAAATCAAGTTGGTTCTAGTTTTTCATGTCATCGTTAGAAAATCAGCAAATAAGTCACACCAGGAGCCCATTAATGGGCTCCCGGCCACATTGACTAACGATACCAACGAATACTTGTCACCGGCACCCAAACTTCAATTATGCCGTTACATTATCACTTAAACGTGACGGCCGAGCGCATCATGTAATGCTTGCTTTGAAGTGGACAGAGAACCTTCTTCTATAAAAACGATCCACTTACCTGATTAAAATAGTCAAAGGGATCATGAAGTTTCCAAGAATCGCTTGAAGGTATGGCGGTGTTCTCGACCCTTTACTCGCGAATACAACCAGAGCTCCGTTCAAAGAGTCACAGAAGCCAACCAAGAAGAGCAGAAGGTGTGGAAAACGTTTTTCTGTTTCGCCGAGATCTTGAGGTGAAAATGTTTTAATGAACAACGTTCCAAGTCCAAATATTACTACAAACGACAAACTCGCGAAAGACAGCACAAAGTAACTGTCGACTGATTTTCCCGAATGATTCCCATTCACGGAATCGATCCAAAGGGGAAGTGAAACGTTCTGACCGACTTGGCCGGCTACAGCAAGAAATGCAAAAAATAAGTTTGCCCAGAATAGACGAATTTCGCAGAATCCAATCTTAACTTTTTTTCGTTTTCCATAAGGTGAAGTCAGGCGAGATGGCTCGAAATCTTCAGTGGAAATGCGTGACACATCACCGTCTTCATAACTCGGGTGAGAGCTACTGGTAGAACCCATTTTTTGGAGAATTGACAGGAGATTCAAGGCGCCGTGCTTGCCGCGAAAACTTCTCAACAGCCTCGAGAGAAGGTGTTTATCTCCTCCCTGCCGGATAAACTTTAGTGCGTCCTCGCTCTTAGAAGATTGGATTGAAATTTTTAAGTTTCAAGGTCGTTATATGTTAGTAATCAAGTTGCGTCACAACATAGAAATCTCGTGCTCTCCATATGCTGGACAGGGCTATATCTACGTCAGAACAGTTAACTTAAACAAGTTTTTTTCATCACATTCACAAGATGCCATTTCGGCAGAAAAATAAAAAAATAAAAATAAAAAAAAAATAAAAAAAATAAAAATACGTTTATTCGTATATGTAATCGCATGGGCCCGAGAGTAATGGAGGATTAATTTCACGTGTATTCTGAAAGTTTTCTTTAAATTGCCTGAGTCGCTTGGTGCATTCACGCACGATGTCCGCGCGATGAAGTTCTTTAAATACCACCACAAATTTCAAGACAAACATAACTGACCAATAGATTAAATGAATGTTTCATTCTCAAAATACAGTTAACAACGTTATACGGCCTCATTCAGTAAATTGCAATCAATATATCTTTGCTGCAAACAGCAAAAAGGCTCATTAGGCATTAAGTAATCATGCTGTTTGTCACCCTTGAGGAACCCTCTGCGTCCATAACAACTCAACTGGGTCATCGGGTCTAGACCCCAGTGAAAAACACAAAGAAGATCGAACTTGTGGCAAGCACGAGTACGATTAAGGGCGCCAACTTCTCAAGGTTAACCAAACATAACAATTAACAAAAACAATCGAAAGACTGCATAAATCAACAAGATAAAAATAATTTTATTTCTTAATAAAGAAAGAATAAATTTCCAAAAGAAATACAGTTCTGTCCAAAGGCCGTTCATAACTCTTTTGTTATGAATATTAAAGCCGATTTTTGTGAGAGAGCGCACTTTATTTTGTTTCGGTTTACCACATACAGACCACATGATGTGTTCGTGGTTAATTGTTGTTGATGAGAGACGAACAAAATCTGAGGGTTATGAATACAGTCATGAAAAATTTCATATCTAAATCACATCTCGGTCTGAATATCTTAATTAAATGAAATGAAATGTTAATCAAAGCATTTGTGGTATTTTCTCGCCTTCGTGGGCAGTTTGATGCGTCTTTTTACGAAATTACCTTTAGCCGGAGGCCGTTCAGAGAAGAAAAGGTGTCTCCCTTTCTTTCTAAAAATCATTCGTACAATTACGTTCCCACAAGCTGCATTAATTTAAAAGGTGGCTCCACCTAACAGTGGAAATGAAAAAAATGAATCTATTTGGAAAGTTCCTCTCGAAAAGCTTAGTTATTGATCAGATAATTCATCCGTACTGGGGACTGATTGTTATTTATCTCCTGAGGGGGCTGGAGGATTTGGGTTGCGTTACCCTGATACATTTTATGTCATTCCATCCATCACTAGTGCGCAGGTGTCTACTATGTTACAAAAGTTACGTCCGTACAAAGCTGCTGACATTGATAACATAAGTTCTCAGCTGTTGCGTATAGCGGCACCTGTTATAGCACGACATAGACTAAAAATTGAGATCAATTTCTCGTTTATAATAAATTTAAATATTCACATTATATGGATGTCATATCAGTTCAATAAACATTCAATTAACATTTCATTTCATGATTGCCTGAAATAATTGCCTGCAATCAATAAAGCTTCCTTTTGTACTTGTTGGATACTTCGTTTTTTGAAAAGGTTTGTACTTTGTACTTTGGTAGTTTTTCGAGGTCGACTAAGATATATCACGGTAGACCTGTACGTGATTATAATTTTAGATGCTCATGTACCGAAAAATCTAACACTCGTAGGACAGCTGGGCGCGTCACGTCTATATCTCGCCTCCAAAATTTATCGAGATAAACAAAAGTTATGTTTCTTCACGCACAAACAAAAATATCTTATATACTATGATCGTGACAGGAGGGATACGGGATATGATCGTGACAGGCGGGATACAGGATAGGGCTGGTACAGGTGGGATCATAATTTAGCCTAAGTTGCGCGTAACACGACCTCAGAGACAATTGCTTTAGAAACGGATTTGATTAATGCTCTCGAGTAAATTGAGGCTGACAGGCCTAAGTGACTCTGTAGTACGTCCAGTTTTCTCTGTATTAGTTCAAGTGTTTACACGACCACATAGTATGTCCAGTTTTCTTGCCTTCTTTATAATTTTGGATAAGCTCGTATCGTACATTGAAACGAGTATCACTTCTTTCGGAGGCTTTGTTTTTCTCTAGAAGTTGATGAAGGCTGTTGTATCTTTGAGATATTACTTCTGTTGTTGTGTGATCGGCCGAAGAATTTTATCCATGTATCAGGATAGCTTTTCTGTTGGTCCATCCACAGGTGGAATTTTTTAAATCTCGCTTATAAAATCCGTAAACACACCGAAGACCACCGTTTTTAAGCCAGTTAAATATGCATGAAGCAAGTCTTTGCCTTTCTCCACAATGAGAGTACATTATCTCTATTTAAAGGTTATGATTTGTCCATGAGTTGGCAGGGAACTAGAGCAACTTAGGTTTGGCCGGCGGGGTCGGGATGAAAATATTCATTGCATTGCGGGATGCGGGATGCGGGATTGGAAAAGTCTATTTTTGACCCTCATATATGAACTTCGTAATGGGCCTCGCTCTCCAGAGAGTCTCTGGAGAAGGTCTGAGGTTCGATTTCTTATGGGAACTCAGAATTATCTCCTTCTCCCACGCTCGAGACAAGACGAAAATTAGACATCTTTCTCTATTTCTTTAACGAACTCAAAACTCACCATCTTTCTTGTTCTATTTACAAAACAACTTATTGCACGATTCCAAAATAATTAGTGGAAATAATTGTTCCAGTTTGATCAAAGATCTCTAATTCGAAAAGTCAGAACCAAATCATTAAAAACGGTTGTTTTAGTCCTTGCCAAATGACAATTCCAAAATTTATAAGACTTTGTCACGGAATGATTGTAAATGAGAAAAGGCGAAATGTAGAAGTTGCCAAATACTAAAAGAAACATTTTAGTAGCTTTGGGTACTTTTACTATCTAGTTATTGTTGAAATTTCACCCTCCTTAAACGCTATAATTTCCCAAATTGTTGGTTTCAGACAACAGAGGACGGGCTGCATCAGATAGAGGTTCAGAACGGTAAAAGCGACATCGATGCGACACCTCAAAGTCTCTTCGCTCATTTCCATCAGTAGAAATCTCTGGAGCTCTGAGACAAAAAACAAGGAAGGTGGTAAAACAAGTTGAAAAATTTTGGGCTAACTAGTTAACGTTGGGGGTGATCTTGTTTACTTCAGGGGAGGAGGAGGGGGGGGAGGGGGGGAGCAGCTCGGAGAGGTGGAACGAGCTTGCAAGAAACCTCATAAACCAAACCCAAGACAGAAATGAAGTTTAGTGCTTGGGTGCAAGAAGGTCATCAAATGTACCTGTTTCACTCTAGTTGCCATACAATTCACCTTAACATGCCATAAGGTAGTTTACTTGATGAAACTGGCAATTGGAAAGTTCGAGTGAACAAAGGAGAGATATTTCCCCGTTCAATTCATCAAGTCGTGGTACAATTCGTGGGAACCAACTTTTACTCTCCGCCCCGCGTGTGTGTTCCGTGAGAAAGGGGTGTTAAATATTATAACAGAGTCCTTAGAAACTAATGCAATGAATAATGAAGAGTTTGTTGTGTACAAACCAAAAATTTCATTTGGCGCGAAATCATGTTCGTATACTTGTCCGAGAACATTATTTATTCCCATATAGAACAACTGTCACCCCTTCCCTTCCCTTTCTGCTATCACCTCTGCTTCAAGCGTTAAGGTAACGAGATTAAAGGAAACAATCACCCACCAAAATAGGTCTTGATTGTTAAAAAAATTCTCCTTGTCAGTATCAGAAGAAATGTTATAAGGATGGTGTGGAGAATATTCACACTGATCACAGAGTGTAAGGGGTTGAGAGAGAGTCGATTGTTTACTTTCTTACCCACTATGGTATACAAAAATGGCGGGAACAATGATCGCCAGCGCGACAATACTAAACCAGGTGCTGTTGTTACATCGAGGCTGCCATTTGAACGGGACCTCCTTGAACAATGTCCAGAAGAGAAAGCCAAGGGGAGTTACCAGAGACTAAGAAATAATAATCATGACAATAATAATTAAGATAACAATAGACGGTTAAGAATATATGAAATTCATATATTTGAACTGCGGATAAAGACGTGAATGAAAGTGATCCTCGCAGTAATGTGCACTACTTAGGCAGTAGTGAAAATAAGGCCTGAAAAAAAAAAAAAAAAAAAAAAATTCAGGCCTGTACGGGATTTGAACCCATGACCTCTGCGATACCGGCGCAGCGGTCAAGGTCAAATAAAACGGTCAAATAAAACGGTCAAGGTAAATCATTTCAATTGGAAGGAAAGACTTCTGCATTATATGTAAGTCGCCTTAGGCAAGATGAAATGGCTCCTTCTTGGTGTAGAAGACACAGAATACGGCACAATAGAACACCACCTCATTAACCTTCTGTTTTCGTCATATTCCTCGTTCTTTTGTCTTTTTGTTTTCTTCTTTTGTCTTCTACATCAAGTAAGAGCCGAGAAGGTTTCAGTCTTAGTTGAACCGCACTCCCCAAAATTTTGTAAATAACTCGTCTCTATTTCGTGATTCATAAACTTTCCTCGTGTTCTCTCAACCTTCAGCGTAGGATATTATACCAGTAAAGCGATAAAAAGTTCGATCTGTTGCTTTAATCATTGATCAATTGATAAATGCCTTAGACAGTACTTTGTTGGCCGACGCAACCTTGACCCTAGTTTTTTTCAAAGTTCCATGTCTTATTACTCAGACACATTTATTACTTTCCCCTCAAGGTTTCTTTCGTCTGAACGGGTTCAGGCTGGAACGAAACGGGAAGAGTTTTGGGCGGGATGGCCTTGGGACAGGAAGAGATTAATACGCGAGAACCTTCTTTTTTTTACTTTTAGCCTGCTTCTGTGCCCAGTTTGCGAACTGAACGTATTGAACAAGTAATGGCGAGTTTATTCGCTCACC